TCCTCTTGGCCACTTGCTGCCATGCCAGTCTTGTGAGGCACACGTGCAAGAGAGATGCCCGTCTTGTAAAGCGTGCACCTTGTGAGGTGGGCGAGTGGGCCTCGTGAGTTTGGCACAACAGTGGCAAGAAAAAAACAGGGAGCAAGTACTCTGGGGATACAATCAAAAGAACATTTACAGTGTATTCAGACATATAGGAAATACATGCAACATGTAGATAGCCCCCAAAGGGAATGAAAGATGGAGTCTGTACAGTTGCCTTTATAACCTATCAGTTATGAACACAGTTTGGAAGAGGGTGGTGGATCAGGTGGGGAATCAGGTACACAGCATGCTAGAGGCACACTAGGATAAAGCAATAGGATTAAGGCAATGCAAAGAGAAGAACGTTCAGGGCGGGCAAACCTTAGCATGCCTGCATATGTGAGAAATAAGAGTCGTAGGATCAGGAATCCCATCTTAAGTCTAAAGCTGTTTTTACAGTGTCAGGATATTAGCAGCCATATTATGGCAAAGCTTTCACTCATTTTGTCCTGAGAGCAGCAACCAGTGAGGGGGCAGAGGGGTGGGCCTGGCATCAGCTGGGCAGCTGGGCTTCAGGGAGCATGTGCCAGGAGGGACAGGGACAGGGCCATTTGAGTGGGATGGTGTAACCTGGTGTCCTGCAACAGTACAGGTTGGACTTGATGGCCTTCATGGCCCCTTTCAACTCTACTGTTCTGTGATTCTATGACTGCCTCCAGCAGTAGCGACTGTTGGGACTCCATGGAGCAGTGGGGGGTGGGGGGGCGGGGGGGGGGGGAGAAGCACTTTTTTCCAGGGGATCATGTGGGCCAATGCGGGAAAGGCAGACAATGCAGGCAGGAATGGTGCATACTGGGATTGGTTCCCAACCATGGGGGCTGATGGGATATGTGCTACCATTTGGAGGGAAAATGGAGGCACATGGAAATTATTCACTAGTAGTTACCTTGTGAATGTGTGAACAAAGGACACAGGGTAAGAAAGGTAACTTCATGGTATTCTTTATTATTATGTATGAACAAAGCCACTGAGTTTAACAGCAGGTGTTTGTTTCCACCCTCTAAGCACAGTCCCAAACATGAGTCAAAAGATATTGCTGGCTGAGGCAAAAACCTGGCAGCCTCATAAGTTAAAAGGGTCCACTAAGTCGATCCAAGCATCTTCACATGAAAAACAAAACCAACATGTGTCAGAATGTAATGATGTGCATGTATTTCTTGTTGCATCTGTGTATGCAAAACATGAGAAGAGTCCTTGGAGAATCCTCTGTGGCAGCAAGAGTGTCATGTTCCATGCTGCAGCATTTTAAAATTCTCTAGCTAGCATGGTCTCCTCAAGTTTAATAGTGGTTATTTTAATCTGTGGCAGCAAAAACAACCATAAGCTGTCAGAGACTAGAAGCCAAAATAAGTGTTAGTCCTTAAGATGCCACAAGATTGTTGTAAAAGTACACTGATGGGTTCTCAGAGGTCAGGCAGGTGTAACTTACGAGTAGACCAAAATTGTATCAGTGTTCATTACAGTAATTTTAGTGTGGCTGGTTTGAGTCACACAGAATATGACTGACAATTCCAGAGTAAGATATTTGCATATTGTTTGTTCTAAAGAATCCCACTTCTTTTATTGCTGTTATTCTCTCTCTTCCCAATTTTCTATTTGAGAGCTGGTAGAAATGCCTTTGATCATTTCCTCTGCCTGTTTTGGGTACTAAACGTACCTCTAATAAAAGCTAAAAAAGAAGCATTTCTGAAAAACCACTGAATTGTGGCAACTTTTGCTATTCCAAAAATGTTTTGACAATATCATAGATGGACTAGTTCACCAAGATGACCACTAGGATGCCAAAATAAATAGCATACTGAACATGCGTCTGACATCTTAAAGCCATGGGAACTGTTCTCCCCTTAGAAGTACTCTTGGCAATAATTGCATAGCTTACTTGATGTCCAAACAGAAATCGGATGTGGTCGAAGTAAAACTGTTAGCATCGCACAATTACTAGAATAACACAAACAATCACTGCTGGTATGTCGGCTGCAACGAAACTCAATTTCCACAGGTTTCTAAAGTTGTGCTATTTCTGATATGACACACTTTAAGAACATAGACCAGGGCTGCACATCACCAGACAAATCTCATCTATCTGTATACTTTGCTTTCTCCCCCAGAGATCCTCATACATGTGCTGTGCAGGCATGTGTTTGTAAGTGTACATTTGTGCACATGGGTGCATCTGCATATGTTCTCTGACCCAGTGTTACATGTGGTCCTCACAGCCAAAAGGCTGTGCACTCCTGTCCTGGATATATCATACAAGGGCAGAGAAAAGGAGTTGCTCCCAGCTACTTAATGTTTTGATCTGAAGAGAACATAGAAATGTTTTTCTTGAACTTAATGGCATTATGTTCCAGTCAAAAGTTCTTCTCCCGATCCAGCAAGATAAAGCTTATCTGGCTCATGCTTAGTGCTTACTGGTAAGGACAGTTCCCTGACAGCCCTGTGTCTTTCATTTTGGTGGCCTGAAATGACACCCTCCTTTGATAAGACACTCACCAGGTCTCTCATATACTTTAGTCATTTGCACCTCTCAAAGATGACTCAGAATACAAGATGCTTCTGCTCAAAGATGCCTCACTGCATGGCAGGTCAGTTTTAGATTTGCTTTTGCTTTCCATCTGCCTTTGGCCTTAAATGTTTTACCCAAATTCTATTTATTGTCAAATTGACTCCCAGCCTCCCACTTCAGTAAACCAAAGTATTCTGTGATCAGAAAACCATTCACAGGAGTGATCCAGTTCACCATGAGGCTTTAATACTTTTATGTGCATTCCTCAGATTTTATGTTTAAAAGAATTTTTATAGTGTATTTTTTCCTATTTTGAGTCATTGTGTTGTGGTTAAGAGCATGGGACTGGGACTCAGGTGACCTGGGCTCTATCCCTGCTCAGCCATGGAGCCAAATGGGTCCAAGCTACCTCACAGGACTGTTATTGTGGGGATAAAATTAAAAGCAGCAGGAGGAGAATGCTGTAAGCCACTGTGAGTTCTTTAAAAAAGAAAAAATGCAGTGTGTGTGTGTGTGTGTGTGTGTGTGTGTATATATATATATAAAATAAACACATCAGTGGGTATATTCAGGGGCAGTCCAACAAAGCAACAGTATCTTCTTGCTTCTTTTGGAATCCTCTGTGTGCCACCCCACAGAGGTTTCTCAGGCTTTTTACATTCTGAACCTAAGGATGCTGTGCACCCATCTGAGGCCAGCTATAACATGCATGCTAGGCACTTCCCTGATAATTCCATTTGCCAGGACTTATACTCCAGTGTTACAGAATGTGGATCAGGTGACCTTCCCAAGGACAGTTTTGTCCCTGGATGTGTTTCAGCTGGTCCAACTCAAAGACATTGACAATTTGCTCTGACAGGTTTGTGCAGCTACATTTATACTGCATCCTTGCCTCTCTAGGTTTATAAAAATTGGCACAGGGGGAACAGCTGGCTGGGCCATGGAGATTATCAATGCCTTGTTGTGAGAGGGGATGGTTATCTAAAAGAGGTGTTAGTAAGACTACTTATGAAGAAATGCTTCCTGGAGTTGGAAAACCTCAAAATTTTAGGCTGGTGCAACGTGTCCCTTTCCAGAGCACGACTATTGAGCAGATCAGAAGGTGGTGCTTGGCAGATAGTACTTAGCCCTGTATTTCTTCAATGTGAGGTTCTGCAGGGTCCACATACAATTTAGAATCTACATGAAAATAGGGCATTCTATTTTTCTTGCTGAATCGCAATACTCTGTGCTTGAAAGGGTTTCTGCTTGTCTGAAGGTTTGATGTGTTCAGTTTTTTAATTTAAACATCTAAAATAAGTAGTCTATCTTTGTAGACTGTAGTTTGTATACTTGCCACTAGATGGTAATGCTTGCCCATCTTTCCATTCAGTTTTAAACTGCAGGGTCTTCTCAGTCAAAATCTTCTCCTTGAGGAAAAACTCTTAATGAAAGCTTCTGGAGTTCAGCACAGGAGCCCTTAAAAAGCGGGGAGGGTCAAGAGATCATCGGAGTTTGACTAAGATATATGCAGGGAGTTATGCCCTGATCCCAATCCATCCACTCCTCCCCGTAACATCCCCCTTTAGGCAACCCTTTCAATCTCAGTGACACAAAGCAGGCCTGCTACCCACAATGATTCTGAGTGTCTGTCTGGAACATCATGGTGGCTTAAGCAATTGACCCACACCTTGTGACTTGTGGACAGTGACATCCAAAACTACGCTTTGAATGAGAGATTAGAAAAACTTCTGTTTGTGAACCATTTGATAGCCCAAGAAATTACTCCCTCCAATACTGTGAACTCAAGAGGTAAATGTCAAGAGAAACCAAGGGGGAGAAAAGCCAAAGAGAAACCAGCATGTTTAGAGAAATCCCAAAGTTTGCAGAAGTAAAAACAACCCCCTCCAAAAAAAAAAAAAAATGAAGAGGGGGCAACTCTTTCAATAGTCAACTGTAGACTGACAATTCTCAATAGCAGCAAATTGCTTTGTACGAGTTGAAAAATAGAATATGCTAGCCATAACCCTCAACAGAAGCATGCCTATTAAAAGGTTAGGAAATACTCTAAGAAATAACTGACACATGAGAGATAAAGAGGTGCAGATAGGTATGTATTTAACAATCAATTTAATATATGTTTTATTGTATATCTCTTTGACTACAATTTCTGAAAAGCAGCCATAACTTTAACAAATACATAAATGCTCCTTTCCCTTCAAAAAAATTCCAAAAAGTCATGACAAACACAGATTAGAATAAATGGAAAAAGAAAATTCCTTGCATCATCTCCCCCCTCCAAAAAAAGTTCCTAACAAATAAATATGCAATTCTCTTTTGACAAGTAAAAATGGAAGTTTTCAATATATAGCTACAGAAAATTAATAATAACTGAAAAGAGAAACACAGTTACTCTATTGACAGTCAAATTTCAATTCGTTTCAGAAGAAGTTACTGAACCTGTAGAAAGTGAGACTTTTGAAGCCACTTTGTTTCTTTTTAGTTTTCCCTTCAAAATGTTTCCTATCTGAATTTCATACACATGCAGAATAAATGCCACAAAGATAATACCTCCTATTAATACAGCTGTAAAAGTACTGATAAGATATTGTCCTGGAAAAGCCAGTGGAGAATCATCAACATAAATCTGCAAAAGAAAATATTATGATCATTCCAAAAGCTCCTTTCCTTCAGAACTTGAATACTAAGTTATGATTGACAGCACACTGGAACTGCTGTTAGTTACAGTGATTGCCGTGTGATGCAAATACAAATGGGGAAAAAAGAGCCTGCACACCCTGGAACAATCTTGGCAATGCAGGCTCTGAGGTACGAATCCTATGCCATGATTGCCTGGGAGTAAGTCCCACTAATTTGAATTAATTTTCATAATGTTAAAAGATACAAATAATATTTTGTGATATACTTGCTGAAGTAAATGAGGAATATTCCAGTTTTTTTAAAAAAAACCCTCTGTTTTATGGATATGCTGTGCTATATTTTTCCATTATTATTTTAACAGCTGATAACTGTACCTGAAATTCATCAAATAAGTTACAAAAGGAGACTCCAGGAATAGTTGATACCCTGAAATGGAAAAGCTCAGATCCCTGTAGAAAAGAAAAAAAAATTTTTACAAATATATAGTAATATTTAATGTCATTCTACAAACATTTTAAAATGTACGTGCATGCCTTTGTGATTTAATGGGATCTGACTGCTGACAAAAGCAAGCATTTTTGCATTTTTGCATTTTTACTGAGTGAAAACTTACAAATGACTGACTGAAGCACAGGATGCCATATGGCCTAGATCAGGGGTGAGGAACACATTTCCTGCATTTACTGAGGGATAATCTTTTGGAAGTCCCATGCTGGGCAGGTCAGGGGGAGAGTCCAAAGTCAAAAGTGAGCAGGGCCACCTCCTTTTCCCTCTCCCTCCACATTCTGCCCACACTGTATAGCACTAAGCAGGGAAGAGATAATTTTTTCTAGGGTTCTGAACTGATCTCTTGCGAGCTTTTGCATGAGCCCGGAAGTTGAAAATTGCCTATACCTCAACTAAAGATGGTTGTTCCATTTATAACAGGCAAAAACTTTTTAATTTAGTAGTCAAGAACTGTGTTTTATTTGGATAAGTGCTTCACTACAATAATTTCGGTAATCTTGAGTTATTTGTTTATTCTTTACAGGAGCTTAATTCATTTGGTTTGTTCTGTTTGTATTGGATTTTCATATATAAGCCACCTTGAGAGGTCTGTACCCTTAAAATATCTCTGAGCAAATAAAAATAAGACACAAGAGGTGGTGCTTGGCAAATAAGCCACTGGGGAGTTGTAACTCATGAAGAACCATCTGTGGAGCACAGGGTTAATCCTTTCCCCTCCAGCTGCAAACCTGTTTACACCTCCATCCTCAGCATAGCATTAAACAATAGGAAAAAATCCCACTGTTGCCAATAGGAGTTTATCTCAGTCCTTCACCATTTCACCCCCATGGCAACAAGTAATTACATTTTTAAAAGTCATAAAAAGATTGCTCATCATGTTGCTGATGTGATATGCAGTTATCACCTGGTTTTGCTAGTTTTATAAATGGCATTTATACCAAAAAGAGAGCAAGCTCACTGTGATGCTGGCCTCCAGTAGACTGACTTGCCTTGTTCCTTTCCACGGGGAAGACAGAAACAAGGCAAACCAACAACTTTTGCAGGAGGAGTTAAAAATGCACCCTCAAATTTTCCATACAAGAAATGCTCTGCATATATCAGTGGTTTTCAACCTTTCCAGAGCTGTGGACCAGCAAAACCAGGAAAACCACCTTGGGGACTGCTGTCGCAGAAACAAAAAGCACCATACATATAATACAGTATTCTGTGTATTAGTTTCCAAAGAAAATACCCACACCCCAAAAAAAGGAAATTCTCCAAAACAATCAGAAACGAAGCAACAAAAATGCCAACAAAAGAACAAAACACTGAAATTGGTGCAGCATGGCTCCCAGCCAGTTCCCACCAAGCCATCTCTTCCCTCCCTGGCCCCTCTCTCCCCTGGCAGTACCGGTGCAACTCCCACAAATGCAATGCCAACTGAGGAAGAGCTGGTGGAGCACAGCCAGACCCCACACCAGTCTGCAGAGAGCAGGATGCAGCCCCCACATGGACTGGCAGGGAATCTCCACTGAAAACTATCTCAGAGTGGAAGACTATCTCTTATGCTAGATTTCTTATATGAAGGCAAAACTTACAGTTATAGTTATAGTCAGGCCATCTGGGTTATATAGTTGGGTTTTAAGTTGAGACTCTAAATATTTTTTCATTTTTAATGTGCTTGATGTTGAATTGATACCTGAAAAACATTTAAAACAATTTGTGAGGGATAGTTCCATTTCCCCCCAAATGTTAATGCATAGAAAGGCCTATGGTACACTTAAGCCTATGGTAAGCGTACAAAGGGACTTTGCCTAAGCCTTAGCTCAGCTAGCTGGGATATCTTCACCAAGCAACCTCCTGGCAGATCCCCCTAGCACCAAAGTAATGGAAGCTTTCCTGAGCTGTGTCCAGTGGACTGCCCATTGGAATTTTAGAGTCCAGGACATGGAGGAAAAGTGTGATATTGTGGTACATTAATGGCACATTGGGAGTTGTAGTAGAGATATGACAAGGAACTGAGAGGGAGGGAAAGAAAAGTCAAGGTAATTGTAGACTGATGGTATTTGTTTTAAATTCAGTTTTAGTGAATGCTTAGAATGCAGAAGGTTTTAAGTATCTGTCCCTGGTATCTTGGGATTCTTCCAGTACAACAAAATGTAAGACAAACTTTCAGATATAATGTTCCAACAGTACTAAAAGGGAAAAAAATGTTCCTGAGTGACTTGCAAGCTACTTCCCTGTACCCATACAAGGTCAGTTGCCATGTGTTGACCATTTCAGTCAACACAAAAACCCATTATGCAGCAACCCCAAGAACAAGAATGGATTGTCAGGACAATGTGTTGTCCAAAAACAAGCCATCTTCCATGAAGCAGACCAGGTTCACACAACACTCTTCAGTGGCTAGTTACCCACACTATATTGTCTTGTTGTATGAACCCAGTCACTACATGGCAAGAAAGAGAACATGAAATTACGCTGAAGAGATAAACGTTTCTAACAGAATTTCTCAGGGAGGATGGATAGTTCTGAATTCTTCTGCTTCCTACCTGAAACTTTCCATTTTGTTCTGTTGTTGACTTCTGTTATTGTGATAAAATAAGGAGATGTAAGGTTTTGAAAACGACCCTCTTCCTTAATGGTGAAATAGAGAGGAAGTTTTGTTACTGGAAATTTCATTCGCAGAACCTGCAGATACAAGTTACATAGAAATGACTGATATTAAACAAATGATACACATTATCAGTGTAACTTCCATCCTCTATGGATTTAAAATAGGTTGAAATGAATGAAATTTTATGTTTCTAACATATTCTAACAGCCAGAGAACTTCAGATATTAGGTGGTATAAAATACAATAAATAAATGTAGATTATTTCTGTTAAACAGGAGGTCTGATGCTATTCTTGCCTGTCTCAGGACTGTCCTTCCATTAGCATTACCCTAAAGTAGGCAATAACTCCTACTCTGCCATGCATTGAGGCATTTTAGGGGCAGATTATGTTCATTTCCTTTGGATAAGAGAGGACAGGAGAGATCTGATGTCTATAATATATGCTTTATTTTCCAATGTATAAGCAGAGATTCTAGATGCACTCCTTCAGCAAGCAACAGACCTCCAAAAGCAAGTTGTACACCCCTTAAGAAAAGGTTTTCCTATTTTCAGCTAACTCCAGCCAAAAAACCAACAAGTTAGAAAACACCGGGAAGGCTCTCACAACACCCTAAAACCTGGGGGATTTTAGGCATGCAGATGATTGGACGCAGCAAGGTAGGGTACACCCTCCTTCCCAGTTGGTCCTCCACATGCATTCTAGAACACAGTGAGGGGCAAAGGGGGAATGACAGCTGCTGAAAAGTGCCCAAGCAAGATTTTTGAGCAGCTGCCAAAGGCTCTCCAACTTTTCCCTTCCCATTGCCTGGTGGAGGCCTCCGTTAAGCAAGCAGTACTGCTGCTGGGCAACAGTGGTATAGCGGTAAATTCAGAAGTGCGAGCGGGGGTGTCCTTCATGATAGTCAGAGCCATGTCCCCCGAAGCCATACCTATTTCCAAGATTATGCAACTCATGATTATGCAATAAAAATTATCTTTGTCACTTTGTTTGGATTTCTGTTGAGTAATGAATGCAATATGAGAGTATCTCTTTTTGAAGTGAAACAATGACAGCTTCTAGAAGTTATTTCTCATTAACTTATTTATTATGAATGAATTCTTTTAAAAATTGCATTCATATCCCACTTGCCAGCCAAAAAGCTTCCAGAGTGGTTTATGTTGAGGTAATAAAGCTGTTTCTGTCCTCAGGCTTACTATCTAAAAACATTGCATGCAAGGGGAAAAGGACAGGAAACTTGAAAAAGCACACCTGCTTTTTAACCAGTTAAATTCAGGATGCAACTCAGTAGCAGCTCAAGTCTCTTGAGAGGTGGTGGGGGAAGGACAGGGATCCAGTGACCACCCCCAAGGGCTCCCTCCAAAATAAGAGGGGGTACTCCAAACCCCCCAGGGCCCCCTCCACTACACCAATGGGGAGCAACATGAGTTGTCACCCTCCCCACAACTTGGAAGAAACTCAGCAGAGTGTGAGGCGAGGGACGGAAAACACAGAGAAGGAACTGCTCAGAGTTAAAATCCAAAATGTCTGAAGGGCCCCCAGTTTGGGAAGGCAACTCTAGAGAGTAACAATGGAGTTTGTGGGAAGAGTCTTTAGCACTGGGAAGAGAAATGTGTATGCTTGATCAGGGGCCCTAGGTTCTAAATGGGTTTGCACAACTCACTTTGCTTTCTACTCTATCAGCCACTTTTTATAAGGTAATAAGGCAACTTGTGGGTGGCTTGAGTTCTGCCCTGCAGCTATGTTCTTCTGGAATGGTATATTTCTTGGAACTGCACATTTTGTATATGGGTGCTACCAGTACATTTCCAAACACAAGTCAAAATGCTGGTACTTCTCTTTAAATCCTATATGGCTTGGTCCAGATACCTTAGAGCGTGGGTCCTCAAACTAAGGCCCGGGGGCCAGATCCAGCCCGCCATGCCTATTTGGACCCACCATGCCCATGAGTGCACCCACCACCACCCATCTCGCCCTACACGCAGGGAGGCAGCGGTTTGCTTGCTTGGAGAAAACCATCTCCAAGTGAGCAAGCTGCTGCCTCGTGCGCCTGCTTTCCCTCCCCTCACCACCCACACCTGCCCGCCTGCGCCTTGCCTCGCCACGTGCCCCACCCCACCTCAGCACACATGCCCGCCCCCCCACCCCCTCACTGGCCCCCGTGCACCGCCAGCACCACCTTTGGAACGCATTATTTTAACATAGAACGGTTTACTGAATTTGGTTATTTTTGAAATTTATTTGGTCTTTGTAAATAATCAGGAAGGGATTTCTTTCAGTAGACAATCTTTTAAATAAATAATAAATGAATCCATATTTTGTTCCAGATAACGCTTACTTTCTCCCTGCAGTCTGAAAAGGCAACAGCAAAGGACAGCTTCATATTTGTTGTACATCCACATTCAGCTCGAGTTGACTTGTTAGCACATTGCTTGTAGCGTCCAGTAGCCTGTGGGAAAAATACAAATATGCAAACTGAATATATCTCAGTTTCTTCCATTACTATGAGATTTTGAAAGCAAATAATTAGCAAACTTTTTAAATTTTGCTTACAGGGGTGGGAACAACAATAACTAATAATAAATGATTTGAGTAAAACTTTCAGCCATCGTTGTCCCATCAATGCTGCTAGGGAGTGGAGTGTGGGCAATCAGGGAAAGAAAGAGAAGGCGACATGAAGAACAGGAATCAAGGCATGGGCTTTGCAAAACCCTGCTTGGGTCTCACATATTTATAAGTAATTGATCAGGATCGTTCACAGTTATTAGCACCTTCTGTTCAGTCATCTGCAACATCCCCAGGATTCCAAATATTAGAACTACAACAAATATATATCTCCCAATATATATCTGTTACATAACCATAGTCCATTCTTTTTGTTTTAATACTTTATCTGTTTTTAAATTATATGTATAACACCCAAGTTCCTTTATGATTAAAGAGTGTGTTAGAATCTTAAATAATCTTTTTCAGTTGACTTGATCCTCATGTCTCAGATGGGGGTAGGAGAAAGTATTTTAAAAGGCCTAAGTTTATAACTTTTCAGATATTAATTCTTCATCTCGTTTGAAAAAGAATTGCAGATCTACTAGCAATATTGCTCCAGGGAAGTGTGTGCATGCACTTGTCTGTGGAAGAATGGACATTTGAACAATTGTGTGTTACTCAAGCATTTCCCAATTTGAACTGAACCATATTGGTGCATTGACCTAGGCACTGGCTGTTTCAGAAGTCATCCCCTTGCAAAAGAGACCTCTACAGAGTTGGATCAGCAAGACTCTACCTAAGGGTGTCTAGTGTCTGTTGCAGGATAATCTCCAGAGGCACATACCCAGAGGAAGAAGATCTGATATGTAATTGTAGCTCTGATGCTGGAGGTTCAGATTCCTCCAAAAAGTAAAGAAGTTTCTTGATTGTATCATGTTAGCAATCACTTGAGCATCCCATATGCCTGTAAGCACTTAAGCAATGGGAGGTCAGTAAGTTAGGCCAGAGAACCAGCTAGGGGTGCTTGAGGATTTTAGTGTTTGCCAGTGTTGATACAAATTGACCAGAACTGCACCTTTAGGACAAGCTTGTGTATTGGAACAGTTATCCTTTGGAATTTGCTTTTCTCCAAACTTTGCAATGCACATCTGAGCTCAAAGAATGCAGTTACATTAAATGTGTACTTCAGGATAAAATTGTGGGATCTTGCCCCTGTTGCCCCTGTTTCTGCCTCAGACATGGAGTTGGGTTCAGAGGAGGAGGGGATAGTGCCTGGGCCAGCTGTGGGTAACCAGAATTAGGCCATTCTCTTTCACCTGGCCTCTGGCAGCCTGGCCTCTGGCAGCTCCGCAAGGGAGGCTTTTTCAAAATTTCCCTCTTTTCAGTGTAACTTTAGACTTCTATTAGGGTTAGGGTTAGAAAAACAAGGTGTCCTGGTAAGATTTTAATGGTTGGAATGTGTTTGAAAGGGGCAGAAATGGTGAGCTGTGCAGAGAAAGCTCCTCAATGGAGGCTTTTTCAAAATCGCCCTCTTTGCAATGGAAATTTAGACCTATCTTAGGGTTAGGCGAGTGAACCAGGTTAGGGTTCGGGTTGGGAAAGTAAGGTGTCCTGGTGAAATTTTAATGGTTGGAATGTGTTTGGAAGGGGCAGAAATGGTGAGCTGTGCAGAAAAAGCTCCGCAAGGGAGGCTTTTTCAAAATCGCCCTCTTTTCAATGGAACTTCAGCCCTACCTTAGGGTTAGGGGTGTGCACCAGGGTAGGGTTCGAGCAATGGCCATGAACCTATGGCCCGCTTGCCACAGCAGCTGTGCAGAGCCCTCTCTGTTGGCACGCGAACGATGTCGCCCCAGCATCGCACCAGCAGCCAAGCAGCGGATAAGAGCGCAAACAGTGCCCAGTGCATGCTCTTAACGGCATAGCCACGCCAGGCAATGACATCACGAGCCATGACTCATGAGCTGTGACTCATCCGAGCTTTTGCATGGCCAATTCCAGAGATATTTATTTATTTAATTATTTATTTAAAATATTTCTATGCTGCCCCCATCGCAACAAAGCCTTGGGGCAGCTCACAAAAGATACATAAATACATAAATAATAGCAATATAACATTTTTTTAAAAATTGTTTAAAAACTCCCAGTGCATTCTCAGCTAAAAATTTAAAATCCTATTAATTCAAATAATTTAACAATTAAAATAAGTTTTAAATAAAAAGGTCTTAGCCTGGTGCTGAAAAACAGATAACAATGGCGCCAGGCGGACCTCTCTGGGGAGCGCATTCTATAGATAGGGCGCCACCGCAGAGAAAGCCCTCCTCCGGGTACTTACGCTCCTAATATCATTCACAGAGGGTTCCCGGAGAAGGGCATCTGTTGCTGATCTCAAGGGGCAGGAGGGCATATATGGACACAAGTGTTCCTTTAGATATATGTATATATATTTCTTGGATTGGCTGTGAGTTGTCTTTTCTAAACTAAAACCTCAGTTTCCAGTTTTCATTGCAGTATTGGCACTTTCCGATAAATAACTGGGCTTTGTGTTGCAGTTTGGGCACTCGGTCTCTAAATGTTTCACCATCACTAATCTAGATCGAGTTTTGGCAACTTCTTTAGGTCTTAGGTCAGCTTTTCTCTTTAAACCATGAGGACAGTAGATCAGTGGGTTGGACAGTTTTGATAGACAGAGCATTAGGCCAAGCACTAGTCAAATCAGGTGCCTCTTTCCCTCATCACTGATATCCCAACTGGGATGTAAGCTATGCAATAAGGGTCTCAGCCTGATGCCAAATGACTTTCCAAGTGTGGGAGAATTCCCTTTTCTCTGATCAGAAACTGGCGATAACATGAGCATTTTTTCCCAAAGGTGAAAGGGTGGGCCTTGGAAAAGAAAATGTTTGCAGCCCACAGAGCATGTCCGACCATGTCATGAGTGGAGCCGGCTGGATCCAGGAGTCAGACTAGATGGCCCAGGAGACCCCTTCTGACTCGCTCTATGTTTCTATTTCTCAGGTAGATTAGGAACTTACATGGGCCTGTGACATTAGACAAATTACAAAATTATCCACCCTTTTAGATATCTCTTTTGATTACATAGATTTGTTTGTGTGTTTAGCATTAATGATAAAATATGACAGCAGGGTATGTATAATCAGTAACCATTTTTTAAAAAGCACATCAAAGTTTCTAAGTGAGCAGCTAAGTAGCAGACTTACTTTTGATCCTTCAAAATAATCTCTCTGTCGAGGTTTGCTGGGGTCAGCATTATAAAAGTTTTTTGTAAGGGGAACAGCAATTCCCAATTCAGATGGTGGCCTGTAGTTCACCTGCATGGAAGAGATCACTGATGAAAATTATGACAGGTAGCTCCTCATGACCATATTCATAATCCTTCACCCATTTATTTTTTACTAGTCCCAGTGGTTTCAGTGAAATTACTCTGGTTAAATTGGAATTTCACTGAAATATGAATTCCAGAAATTCATTCCAGATATTGACTATACATGGCATGTTACATAATATCAGAGATATCCTTGTTATCAACTAGCAACAAATCCTATACATTCAGGATATGTTATAGTAACATAAGTTTAGCTATATTACAGCAGGTTACAAGAAAATGCAGTATCAGAGAAGATGGATTACCTCAGGCACAGAGAGCAAGGAACCCCAACGAAAAAGAGTCAATACACAAGCAAATTAAGCCGTCGTGTAAGAAGAAAGTAAGTGGTATTTACATACTATTTATCTATTAGATTACTCTAGGTCACCATTTAAATCTCAAAAATTTTCAGATTAAGCCAAAACTAGGGCCCAACAAAGGAAATGTAATTCCAGAAGGGTAACTTTACAAAAGTGAAATTGTGAGTTAAATTTCTCAGACAAAATCCAGCAGGAATGGAAAGTTCTTAGAACCTTGTTCTAACAAAGTTTCCCAAGTGAGTGAAGGGAGCCTCAACCACCTCAAGCCAAATTTACAAATGGCAATAAAAGTAATACACAGGTCTATACTGACAATGGCCACTCTGCATGTCTAGCTAGTGCAAGCATGTGCCTATAAACAAAGATGTGCTTGTTAGCTTCAGCTTGGGCTCAGCGTAGGCTCAGATTTTTATGCCTTAGAGTAGTTCATAGAAGTTCAGCAATAGACTCATCCTAATTTTTGAGAGTTTAGCTTATAATTTAACAACTCACAAAAAGTAATTTCAAACTACATGCTTTCTTAAATCAGACATAGAGGAGCCCGGTATACATCCCTTCCCAAATCACTTACTGTTTGCATGTTGTGCCCTCCAACATCTCATTGCCTCATTATCTGCTCCCCTAAATGCAAAATATTCACTCTCAGGGCTCCATTGACCTACATTCCCATCCACTACAAGCTAGTGCAGAGCACTACTGCAGTCATAGCTATGCTGAAGGTTCTTTGCCATTCTCTTATAATGTATGGCTAAATTTACACTTATAGTGCAAATTTTTACTCAGGAAAAGCAGGGAAAGCAAATCTTAAACATTGTTACTATAACTATATAGAAATGTATATACTCTGCATTTTAATTTGAGTTTGTTCCCTACCTATCTTCCATGCCTCAAGACTGCACTGGAACAATACCCTTTCCTTCATTGTCAAAGTATCAGTGGCAGCATATAATGGAAACCTACACATTTACTTAGAAGTAAGTCCCACTGAGTTCAATGGGGCTTACTCCCATGTATGCTGTTATAGGTTTGCATTCATCATAGGATATTACGCTTTAATCTCTTTGATGCCAAAAGCATTCAAGAACTTGCTTCTTTACTACCAATGTCTCTTTTCCCCACCACTGTACATTTATCTTATCAGACTCATATAAACTTGGAGTGACCATACATGGATCATTTCCAGTGTATGCCATGATAAATAAACTGAATTAAAGTTCTGATGAGACCCAACTCCCCATCCAAAGAGGAAACTGCTTGCTGCATATCTGTATGCTTTAGTACTTGACCTTGCTTCATATCAGTCAGGCGACACAAGAGCATCCCTGACTCATGCATACACACAAGCAGTGAACTTCTCTGAGCTGGAGTCATATTTACTCTTAGACACAATTGAGGCCTGCAAGTGAAAAGAAAATGTGGTGTCTCCAAGATCAGAAGTTCGGGAAACACTGTCATAAATTTCCTAGAGTTGCTCCCTTGAGGTTATTCTGAAATACAGAGTGGTAAAGAATGGACTCCTCCCTTATGACCCTGCAGTTAAATAAGAGTACCTAGAGCAGTGAAGGGTATCATGATGCTCCTAGTGCCACTCTGCAATGGGCCACAGTTTAGTCAGGCCATGTGTGGACTTGGCTTTGAAGCAATGTGTCCTGTGGCCACTTCATACCTTGGAACACTTTTGCTCTTCTCGTTTTTGAAAGCATTGAGGAAAGATCAGGAAGAGAATCTAAAATGAATAGTCTAACAAATGGGGCTTAGGATCCTTACCGGCAGGTTCTTTAAAACTCTGGAAAGAAATGAGGCATTGTGCTCCACACTGGGCTCTTCAGATAGCCAGTCTGTCTCAGAGATTTGAATAGGTAGAACGTAGTGCATTGTTTTAAGGTAAGAGCAGGAATTCTTCAGTGTTAAGACAATAGTTGTGACATCACAAAGCAGGGATCCATATGTAATAATGACAGCTATGGTGCTTTTGCCCTAGGGATGTTTATTAAAACCATGGCATTAATTTATCTTCTGAACAATTAGCTTTCTAGTATATGGTATTCTTTATGAAAATGTGGTTTTTAAAGTAATCCTTAAACATAAGTTTTGCCTACAAGGAACATATGTATATAGTACATTGGGGGAAATCCAGATGTTGACTTTTCTTTGGAATCTTCAAGAATCTTCTTAGTTGACAAATTCCTCCTCCATGAGCTACTATTCCTTTTATACACCAAAATAATTTTGACAGAGATTATTGACACACGCCAAGGCAACAGGCCCACTCCAGCTAAAGTTAGAAATGACTAGGTTGCATTGGTAACAATAGAACACATTACTAATTAATAACTCACATCCCTTTATTTTAAAAGCTATTCTTTTTGGCATTCAGTGGGATTAACTATGTACAAAGTTGCAACAAAATCAAAGTTTACTTTGGCTAGATTAAGACTGTTATTTTCACATCCCTCTGAATCTTAAAGTGCCATGGTCTCTCCTGATTATCTTACAATGAGTTGTGTAAATAAATAATTGTATCAGACAACAGAAAAACACTTTGTACATTGAAGCTTATGAAATATAATACAGTTGTATAAAACTCTTGTAATACACTTTTTATAATCAGTGACTTCAGTGGAAGAACTGTAGCACTGTAATGTGCTTAATAAGGAGTGTTCTGGATACAATTCATTGTACCTACAACTGGAACAACTGGAAGCCAGTATGGTGTAGTGGTTAAGCGCACAGGACAGGGGATCAGACGATCTGGATTCTAGTCTCTGCTTGGCTATGGAACCAAATGAGTGACTTTGGGCGAGCCACTAATTCTCTGCCCAACCTACTTCACAGGGTTGTTGTGGGGATAAGGTGGAGAGCAGGAGGAAGAGAATGATGTAAGTTACTTGAGCTCTTTAAAAGAAAAAAGCTGTCTGTAAATCTAACACACAAACAATGTGGGTTAAATTGTTTCCTTTTTACACAAGTTTAAGTTGCCCACATATGCATTCTACACAGTTTAATCCACACTGAATATACCTCTATCTTTTAGATATAAACTGGTTTAATATTTAGTCCCTAGTTGTAGAGTGCATTGGAAACTGTAATTCTGGAGAGAGGAGCAGGTCTCTTACAACACTCACCAACTGGAAAGTTTCAGGATTTTGTGAAGGAAACCATAGTACAAACTGGTTTTAAAACAATCACATTTTTTTGATAGATGTATTGGGGAAAACAGGACTGGGATAACATTTTGAACCTAGATGCACATAAAACCTGCTTGCATTTTATCAAGACATCCTGAACAAGGTGGGCTGCATGTTACCTGTTCAAAAAATTTGCTTTGAACACTGATATTGATGATATAACTGTAATTGTCATCCCAGTAATCTTCTGCATTCACTTCCAGTAGAGAAGGCCTTCCAACTATTACCTTCATTAGAGCCAAATGAAACACTTGATAGGCTGTGGAATATAGCAACAGTAAAAATTATGCATATTTTCACTATTTTCCTTTCTGTAGAACTCTCTGTGGGAGTACTTCAATATCTTTGCTGATTGCAATACAATTTTCTGTAAAGAGATACATCTCAAAATATTAAATGAGAATGAAAAATCTATGTATATTTTGCAGGAATGATCTGGAACCAGGATATTTTGTTTGTAATGCTAGGTTAAACATAACCTAACTCTGACACTACCCACCTGACTGCTACTTCTTCTCAGGTAAGTTTGTTTGTTTGTTTATTTATTTTAGTAAGCTTCTATGCCGCCCCATTTGCCAAAGCCTCGGGGAGGCTCACAACAACAAATAAATACATATTAAACATATAAAAACAATATAATTGGCGACGTCCTGGCCGAAGATATAAAATCAATAAATAAAGCTAACAATTAAAATGACGTTTAAATAAAAAGGTCTTGGCCTGGCGCCGAAAAACAAATAACGATGGTGCCAGGCGGACCTCTCTGGGGAGCGCATTCCATAGATTGAGCGCCACCACAGAGAAAGCCCTCTTCTGGGTATTTACCCTCCTAATATCCTTCACGGAGGGTTCCCGGAGAAGGGCCTCTCCCACTGATCTCAAGGAGCAGGAGGGCACATATGGACGTAAGCGCTCCTTTAGGTAGCCAGGACCCAAGCCGTTAAGCCTTAACGGTTAAAGGCTTTATAGGTAATAACCAACACCTTGAATTGGGCCCGGACTTCAATGGGGAGCCAGTGAAGCTGACAGAGGACTGGAGTCATGTGAACATAACGCCCAGTCCCCGTCAGCAGCCTGGCAGCTCTGTTTTGAACCAATTGAAGTATTTGGACCGCCTTCAAGGGCAGCCCCACACAGAGCGCGTTGCAGAAGTCTAGTCGCGACATTACCAACGCGTGTGTCACTGTTGCCAGGCAGTCGTTCTCCAGGTAGGGACCAGCCGAAGCTGGATCAGCCGAAGCTGAAAGAAAGCGCTCCTCGCCACCGCTGTCACCTGAGCTTCAAGTGAAAACTCTGGGTCAAGGAGCACTCCCAAGCTGTGGACCTTGTCCCTAAGAGGGAGTGCAACCCCATTCAGGACAAGGTCCAGGTCCCCTTCCCCGAAGCCTGATCTGCTTACCAACAGGACCTCCGTCTTGTTTGGATTGAGCTTCAGTTTATTGGCCCTCATCCAGCCCATTACCTCAGCCAGGCACCAGTTCAGTACAGCTACTGCCTCACTTGGATTGGTAGAAAACGAAAGGTAGAGCTGGGTATCATCAGCGTACTGATGGTTCCGCAGCCCACACCTCCTAATGACCTCTCCCAGTGGTTTCATGTAGATGTTAAATAGCAAAGGGGACAAAATGGATCCCTGCGGTACTCCATGGCATAGCTGCCATGGCGCAGAGCCATAGTCCCCCAGCACCACCTTCTGGAATCAGCCATTGAGATAGGAGCGGAACCACTGCAAGGCAGTGCCTCCGACCCCCAATCCCGCTAGCCTATCCAGAAGGATACCATGGTCGATGGTACTGAAAACTGCTGAGAGGTCCAGGAGAACCAACAGAGACGCACTCCCCCTGTCTTTCTCCCTGAACAGGTCATCATACAGGGTGACCAAGGCAGATTCAGTACCATACCCGGGTTTGAAGCTGGACTGAAATGGGTCCAGACAATCAGTTTCCTCCAAGAGTGCTTGGAGTTGTCCCACCACCACCCGCTCCAACACCTTGCCCAAAAACGGGATGTTGGCCACTGGTCTATAATTAGTGGCCATCTCTGGATCCAGGGACGCCTTCTTCAGGACTGGTCAGACTACCACCTCCTTTAAAGGGGCAGGTACCCGGCCCTCCCTCAGAGAGGTGTTAACCACTTCCAGGATCCAGGTCCCTATCCCATGCTTGACGTTGTTAATTAGCCAAGATAGTCAAGGGTCCAATAGGCAAGTGGTGGGACGTACTCGTCCAAGCACCTTGTCCACATCATCAGGCCGCAGTAACTGAAACTCATCCATCAATTTTGGACCAGACGGCGACATTGGTATCTTCCCAGAAGCCTCTGGGTCACTAGTGGAGTCCAGCTCGTGACAAATCTGAGCGATTTTCTCCCTAAAATGCTTGGCAAAGTTGTCACAGTGGGCCTTCAAGGGTGGTACCGGATCTTTCTTAGGACCGGGATGAACCAGCCCTTTTACCACCCAAAAAAAGCTCCGCTGGACAGCATTGTGAGGAGGCAATGGAAACAGAGAATTTCTTTTTCACTTAAGTTCCAAGAAATGCACACTTAAGGAAAATTATATTTCCATTCATATCTTTTCAAAAACCCTTATGGACTTCTTTTTTACAGCAGGGAAAATAGAGTATTGAATTGTGAATGTGAAAGTAAGTGCGATTTTCTTTTGTGCATTTACACTATTCTGTTATATTACAATGTCATGTAGAGGTTATATAGCAGGAAAGCATGGAAGGAAAAGCTCCTTCTGCAGTATTCAGATCCCAATTCTTCAGTGAAATAGAAGCAGATACAGTGGATTAAAGGCCTCATGTAGAGAAGCTCCATATCTAACAGAGAATTGAGGGTGGAAAGACATGTAGACAAATACACATACACACACATATGCAGGATTCTGAGGCCCTTACCTGTATTCACTGGAGTTACTTGGAAAGTAAATTGAACTTGTGATCCAAGATCCAAGTATGCAATTGCATTAAGTGGTAGCTCATCAAACTGTTGTATTGTATATCTACACATATCAACAATAATTCTCCATTTTCTTCCATTCTTGGTGCCAAAGTCATACAAAAACCACTGCCCACTTGGAATAGATTCATTCAAAAGCACTTGATTAGGCATAGTGGGATCTCCTAAAGCATTAAGGTCATCCACAACCTGAGTAATAAAAATACTGCTAGAGCCTGGAATCACCACTGTTTTCTCAACATCAGATGCCACAAATACATCTGTACCTGGAAAATACAAAAGCATAGAAAAACATTACTAGATATATCTCCCAAAAAGTATTTTCTCATGTTGACATTGATATAAATGTCCTTCATGTACTCAGAAATAAACTGATCCAAAGCCATATCCATTCAGGGAACAAGACCAACTGTAATGATAGAGCATGTTAGAGTTAACATCTTGCTTGTTGGTATATGACAGACTGGCAGAATTTGTGTGACCTTAAACAAATTGCAACCCACAAACCATATGGTGGCCCACCAGGTCTCAATAAGCTTCCCTTTGCCTGAGATGGCAGAAATAATAATGAATACATCTCTCTCTCATCATATATGAGAGCCATTGTGGTGTAGTTGTTAAGAGCACAGGGCTGGGACTCAAGTGGCCTGGATTTGAGTTGTTTCTTGGCCATGGAGCCAGTTGGGTGACTTTGGGCCAGTCACTGCCTCTGCCCAACCTACCTCACAGGGTTGTTATTGTAAGGGTAAGATTAGGAGCTGGAGGAGGAGAGTGATGTAAGCCTCTTTGAATTTGTTGTAAGAAAAAAGGGGGGCATAAAGCATAAGTCTTCTTGACTAACAGGCAGTATAGATATTAATTAAATAATTGCACATGTACATAAACAGTATTTATATCCAACCTTTTTTCCTTTTGCAGGAAACTAAAGCTGCTTCCATACTCTTTCCCCCATCCCCATCTTACCCTCACAACAAACCTGTAAAGTTAGGCTAGTCTGAAAGTCAATGGCTGGCCCAAAGTTACCTAAGTCTCAGTCCAACACTGTCACTACTATGCTACACTGACTATAATTAAATCGTCCCTGGACTCAAGGGCTGCAAATCTGGAAAATGTTTCTCTTATTCTAATGAATGGGCCAAATTCATCCCTTAGTACCAAGTGTAATTTTTCTCTGCCCCGCCATACAAAATTTATTTCTACACTGGAAGAGGTGGTAGCAGCAGCAGCAATATAGTTCCATGGATCTTTGCACTGCTGACACTTTATTGTCCCAAAGTGACCTCCAGGAAATTGGGGAGAAAATGGAAGCCCCAACTCTCCAAAGCAACAACTGGGTCATTTTGAAGTTGAGAGCATGGTGACCAAGTTCTAAGAGCAGAATTATGTTGTTGCTGCCATGATAGCTGTAAGCAAAAGCAAAATAAACCAAAAAAATGTGCGGGAGAGATGATGTTCTTACATAATCTGCTAAAGTTAATCCTTCTCTCTGTGGTGCAATTCTGCCCCTCCACACACAAAACAGCAAATTCACTCCCCCAGCGTCATTTTGGTGTGTGTGAGATTGATCCTCAAAAAGTGTTAGGATCGCTTATATGCCATATTTAGGTATTCTTCTCACATTTCATGCAGGCTCTCAGGAAGCATTTGGATTAATGATTCAGAAGTTAGGTAGACCTGAGATAACTCAACAAACACTAAATGCTCTGATGTTACAATCCAAGAATCCTAAACTGTATTAATGAAAGGTTGATGAAAGTGTATATTCAGATATAATTTTAACTATCTGATTTCAATAGACAAAGCATCTAATGAATAACTGACATGTGGACTAGATGATAATACAATCAAATGGATGCAAACATGATTGGAATACTCAGTCTGATCAATAGTTCCTCATCAAACTACAGGGAGTTTTTAAATTGCGTGCCTTGGTCAAGGATCTGACTCTTCAACATTTTTACTGATAACCCAGAAGGTATTGAGGGAATACTTATAAAAATTGTAGCTGAATTTATAATCACCTTTACTCTTCTCTTAAAGTTAAGGCTTTTTGTTCCTAGAAATATAGGATTGGATTATATCTCTGTATATAATCAGACCAACCTTTTGTCTGGTGTTTAAGTCAAGTATGGGACTTTATTTATTTGATTTATATGCTTCCCAATTAGCTATAGGTTCCCTCGGCAGCTTACATACAATCATAATAAAATTCATCAATACAATAAAACAATAGTATAAATAAAAAGAATAGTAATAAAAACAACAACTAATAATAGTAACAACAACTTAACATAAATATATAACTGAATGATAAATTAATAAACTGAGAGGGAATATAACATTAAGCATTAACATTGCTCAGAATGCTGAAGTGTCTTTTTCTGACCATGACCTTGCACATCTGCAGGGACTGGGCCAACTCTTCCTATAAAAGAGGTGTCAGTGGTTGCAGAACCAGCTCCCAAGCAGAGAAGTGGGGCCAGAATCCACAGCTGAAATGCCAAAGTCAGTAGACCCAGAGAAAAGCCAGGCAGTCACTGAGAATGAGTTTCAGTTTCTGTGGGAAAGTTTGGTGAGCAAGTTGGTATGTGTGCAAGGGTGAGAGCAAGCTAACGTCTTTTTGGTTTGGAAGTGAGGAAGGGTAATTAGTTTGGAATCAACTTTTTATCATAGCCATAGCTTCTTAATACTTGTTTCTGTTACTGACTTCTGCAATAGTTTGCTTTTGTGTTACAAAGCCAGTTATCTGGCTTGCTTTAACATAATAAAAACTTAAATCTACAAATCTACTTTACAGGGGGACTACAGTCCTGTCTAGGACAGGTTGAATACCCTCTATCCAATCAAAGGAACCACCCGTGAACAGCATCTCAGTCTTTTGTGGATTGAGCTTCAGTTTGCAAGCCCTCATCCAGTCCATTGTTGTAGCCAGGCAATGGTTTAGCACACCCATAACTTCACCTGTTGATGATGAAAAGGGGAAAGAGAGCTCCTGTTAACGACATACTGATGACAGTGCATGATAGAACTCCCACCGTGTGGCGATATGAGATTAAAAATAAATAAAGGTTCTTGTAGGCACCAGCTGTTGCCTACAGTGTCCTCTATATGACTTCACAGCTTTGGCCTTTCCTCTTTCTTCATTAGATCTAATTGCATAATTCAGTAACTCCTTGTGAAGGGATGTCACTGTAATAGTCAACCTCAGAGGAGGCTGGCTACTTATCTCTAAATGAGTCCTTTCTTTGGGGGCAACTCTCTTAGCATTCACGTCCAGATTAGAGATCCAGGTAGTGAAGTACTCCTCAGGGCAGTTCCTTCATGCACTGTCCTAATGATCTGTATTGTGTGCTTTCTCTTAAAAAAGAAAAGAAAAGAAAAGAGGTCGAGCTCTGTAGAGCCTTGGGAACACTGTTATCAAAAGAAATATTTAGAAGATCAGTTAATCAAAAGACTTCCTTTCAAAAACTCTTATGATGTTATCTACAAACCTGCAGTTGTAAGTTGAAGCTTATATTTAGTAGTGCCAGTAGCAGGAGGCAAAATGGTTAAAGAATTTGATATAGAAGGGCTGTTAGCTTTCGTTTCAACTGGAAACCGATCCAAAATATCTATACGAATACCCGATACAAATTCTGGAGGAATCTTATAATGAAAAACCTTTCTGATTATACCAGATCCCCCTGGCCTAAATGAAAAACAAACAAACAATCACTACCTTGATAACTTCAAACTATACTTTAAATGCTATTAATTAATAGCATGGTTACAGTTTGTCTTATATGCCATTATTGATAAATATCAGTGTGATAACCTACAAATCCTAGAATATGTCTGGCCATAAATATTCATGTTTACACCTTGTTCCTCCTGAGTGATTCAAGCAGAAGAAGATAACCATCCAAAAGATGATAAAAATTTGCTCACAAGAAGACAGGATTTTAGCCACCACAAAGAAGGCTATTGAAGAAGTCAGGAGATGCTTTGGACTCTGAAGTCTTAAATATATTTACTGTATCTTTATTTTGTATGGTAAGCTGCCCTAGGAATTTATTTGAGGTACAAATTTCTACACTGTAAATATATTACACAAATACACAAAGAAACAAACATGACAGGGTCTGAATATCTCCCTGTGTTCCTTGTTCCTTCCTTGCTCCTCCTCCTCCTTTCTGAGAATATTTGTAACTGTATTGATAGAATACATGAAGAACGCAATTTCCTGAGAAACTCTGACCACAAAAATTCCATGCTGGCAAGCTAAAGGCCTAATTTCAATGCTCTTGTTCTAGCATGCATGTATGTACATACGTTTGTGTATGTGCACATGCATGTGTGTGCTTGGGCAAACAGCCACAGTTTTCTCCTGTGTGAACTGATAGCTTTCTCCATATCTTGTCCTTCACTCTCCAGCAAGTCACGTGTTAATTATTCCAAATTTATCCTATGCAGATTTACTCCCCCACTGTCCTTGTGGAATTTTTACTACATCCGAACCCACCTTACTCTGCTAATCAGAGTTCCCTCTTGAACAGGAGGGCTCACTTCCATGGAATTTTACTTCCATTGATGCAGGAATCCCACAGGGTCTATGGAAGGAAAAAGGTCCTCCTTTGTTTCTCTCAGCAATGCCAACCTCAGTTTCCTTTTGAAAGAAGCTCTAAAATTTAAAATGGTTTTTCTTCAACTAAAAGCTGATGCTCCTGAAGCAGAACCAGCTAGGGCCCGTTTTCCAGTTAGTACTATTAATCCCAGATATACTTATTACTATTTGAACTTTTTCTTATCTTTTATCATTTTTGTTTTATTTTTGTTTAACTTTGAATAGAGTGTTCTCAGGTAAGTGCTAGGCATGCCACAGAAATGTAGTTTAGTTGGTTCCTATTTCCTGAAAGCTGTAAGCAGATGGTGAAAGATTAAGTTGGAATAGTGTGGTTAAACTCTGACATGGAAGCCCTGAGAAGCCTCTTAACCTTATGTGACTTAAACACCACCACAGAAAGGCTGAAGCCTTTTCAGTAAGAATTTTTCCTATATTCTTTATTTCCTGGCAGCTTGAAAAGTAGGGAAATCCAGTTCTCAAGGAAGTCTGAGTGGTAAATATGGATGTTAGATGTCCTGGATAGCTAATCTTCCTTGCTGAGAAGAGCCCAGTAAAGCTTCCCTGTTTCCTTCCCATTTACCAGTGGTAATGTCAAGGGGGCATCTCTGTTGATGAAGAGTGAGTACACTTTTTATGAGCTGGACCCAAGTTCTGGTGGAATATATACTTTGCAATCTCAAGTATTTGTAGTATGGGCATCAGTGCACTGCAGAAATCCATTGCCCAAAAAGAGGGCAAAAGAAATATTTTGCATTAAATTTTCATATACCCATTTATATGTAATAAAGAGAAACAATAAATAAGTAAATAAAGCCATTTTGGCTAATGGGGGATATAAATCTAATAAATATGTAAGCATAGTTTAACTGCTTATATGTAAGCATATAAACATGCTCTAGCTTACTCCCATTGATTGATTGCTACATTTTTATTTTTCTTTGACTAGAAGCCACCACCAATTTATTTCCAGAGGAATTACTACTAAGAAACTGCACTGGTAATAGTCTTTGTTGGAAAGTGGGACTCTGAAATTAACAGCTATAGTACTCAACATAGATGCAAAAATACATTTTAAAACTGTCATTCTTCTCCTGCAAACAGAAATATTTTGCTCCTCTATATTCTTTCTATCAAATAAGATAAACTATTAAAAGAACTAATACTGCAAAATAAGAAAGGTTATATTGGAATAAAATAGATCAATTCTGTTAGGGAATTTATATTCTCAAACTGCCATCACTACAAGAGGTTTTGTTTTAAAAGGTCAGTCTCACTGATCACAAAAGTGATGTAATTTATTTTTTAAGAGATCTGTGACACCTCTCCTAACACTGGAAGATATTTATGGGCTCTATCCCTTAAAATGGGATATTTAAAAATTCACAGCTTATTTCAATGTATGAAATAGACTATCTAGAACAATGGGGCATTAACAGATTGTTCTTAAACCAGTTGCTGTTATTGGTATTTACCTATATACTAATGATTTGCCTACATGTAGACTACTGAATTTTGTCACAGCTGCTCCTGTGGTCAATGGCTGATGGTTTAAAAGGATCATTTGCTCTTCAGTGATATACTGTGCAGACAAAGCACCATTAAAACCTAAGTCATCTTCCTGGAATAAAGTAAGAAGAGAAATCATTACAATTGCTAATAAGTCTTCATAGACATGAAAAATCTGATGGTATCAACATATTAATATGTTGCAAATCTGTATATTCAACAATTATTATTGATTTTAATATAGTATTAAAATGGTCTATGTTTTCATTATTCTTTTAGGCATTTTTATACCTCCTTTCAGCCCCCTCAAAGTGGTTCACAGGTAAAATAAGAATGCAAAATTAGCATTCAGCCCTTCAGAATAGCAAGAAGCCAACCCAACTCTGTAAGTTGGTCAACAGCATTTAGGACTGCCTATGTTACCCAATCATTCCATGGAATAAATTGGTACCACAGCTGAAGTCCTGATAGATACATCTGGGATTGGTTAATACCTTCCCATTCATATAGGAACATAAGAAGGGACATGTTAGATCAGAGTAAGTGTCTATCTTCCAGCATTCTGTTCACTCAGTGGCCAATGAGCTGCCTGTAGAAAACCTGTAAGTAGGACATGAGTGGAACAGCCTCCACTCATATTCTCTGGTATTCTACTATACACAGGCATACTACCTTTAATAACAAAGACAGCACATAGCCATCCAGATTTGTAGCTATTCATAGCCATATCCTCCATTAACTGAAACCAAACAGGTCTCAGGTATATAAACCAGGTCAGTACCTTCTTTCTGGATTAGATCAAAGACATTCAGTGGCTTCCCAATGACCAACTGATATTCTTAGGCAGCACCATCAAGTCCATGATAGATATCTAGTTTCTCTTAACATTTTTAACATGTATAAGATTATCCTTTAAAAAGCCAATATTACTCAGAGTACTTTAAAAATGATATGATTCAGTTTAAGTTAAATACTTTTTAAGTCCCACTCATTGCAAAAGGAGAATTTTGGCCACATGACTGTGATTAAAAAGAACTATAGATAGTTAAATAAAAACTAATATATTGCAGAACACGTTTAATTGGCCAAAGTCTATGTTTTGTCCAATATTTCTGTTAATGACAGTTCATCATATAGAACACTTGTTAGCTTCCAACTTAATCATATTTGATTGGAAATAAGTTTCACTGAAATCAAATGGGCATACATCAAAAAGATTACTTTTCAGGAATCATAGCACTGTCTTTTTTGCCCTAACCTACTACTATGATGAGCCCTCTGAGATCAAGTTAGCATGTTATAAATAGTATACATAATATTAATAACACAAGTAATTAAAGTTATTATGAGACATAATTTAAAAAGTAATACAATCACAATCCTAGCACCATCTTCTTCCTTTGATGTAACAGATTGGAGATGATCATTTTCATATAATAATTAAAGTTTCATAAACATTCTCTATTAGCATAGCAAAAGCATATCAAACCTTCAATAAAGTATTCACATCCATTTCAGAAACTGCTAGCTTATCTTCAAATGTATTATTCAGACTGATACTATTTAAAATTCCTAGGTGGTCAAAGTACATGCTGAAGATACTTAGTGGCAAACTTGTAAGCTTTGCATATCCTTGTAAACCTACAAGAAAAATCAAAAGACAATGTAATTAATGGCTATGCAGATAATCATGCCAGCATAAAGAGCATGACTTCATGGTAGAAGGCTGTCAGTCGATAAAGTCCCACCCACTGTGAGCTGAGCATGTGCAGCAGCCTTGCCACACTGACATGGAAGAAGGGTGCTCATGTGTGCTGTTGCAGGTGAAGTGGAAGACGGTTGCTGATTGTACCAGCTGTGCTCCACAAGCACTTGCAGACTTCTTCTCAGCTTGGCTTATTTTCTAAGCTGGAGTTGAGCACAAGAAAGTCTGCAAATGCTAGAGGGACAGATTTCTTCTAGGTTTCATCTCAACCTTAGCCATGAATAGTATCTTGAGTATAAAACAAGATACCTGCAATTGTACTGGTAAGAAGAGGACAAGAGTAATTGTGCGAATGGGGTCCTCAAGGCTGAATCTCACCAATGATCATAGTGCTATTGGCATTCTCTGAACAGCCAGTAATCTGACAAGGATCTCCTAGACCTTGAGAAACTATGGACAAACATGGCAAGTGAGCATGGTGTAGCGAGGTGCTACTGTTCCATACCAAGTCTGATACTGAGGTCCAATTAAATCCAATGAAAGATGATGCGCTTGCCCAATCCTGCCAGCAGGACAGTTTCAGCATCTGGAGCAAGCATAGCCTCCTTCCACTGGTTCTCAGTCGTGACTGATCACACCGTACTTCTTTGATGTATTGCTAACTGTGTGGATAGGAGTCAAATAAACCTCGCTCTTTCTCTGCTTTCCTATACAAGGTATTTATTGTGCTCATGATCCCTCAGCTCATGGAAATTTGCAATACTTTTTCATGACATCATTGTTTTCTGTGGCCTCTCCCATGTTTTCCAGACCTCCAGTTTTCATTTCTTTAGAGTGAGGCCAGTCTAGTATTAAAATTTAAATTGCAACGTTCCAGAACAAAAGCCTCATGTATTGCTACAAATTACTATATTGTAACTATACCGCTATGCCACTTTGTGGTTGTTCACTGGAACAGACAGAAAACAGATGGAGTATGCGATGTGTGGTCTGCTATAGAGCCTGTTTTTCAGAGATGAACAGGAGTGACCTGAGGAGTTTAACCCTTCTATCAAGACTGAAATAGATACTACAGTAAGACACTTAATCAGCAGCCTGTATATGGCTCAGCGACAATCCTTTTCTGCAATGTTCCCTGATCATAATAAGGGTTCCGTAAACCAGTAGAAATTCTCTCTGTGCATCCAGTTTATATGATGGAAAAAGGGGGCTTGATGCATCTCTACACTGGAGATATTCACATGACATAATTTATGGTGTTCATGCAGCCACCTTTTTGAATACACTAGATGGCCTGGGAGGCCCCTTCTGACTCGTTTTTTTTTTTTTTTCCCTTTGTTTCTAATATGCAAACACTGCTCAAGGGTTGTCATGCCATATGAACTCAATGAGTATGAATTATGTAGGGATTAAACAACCCTTGCATAAGCCATCTCTTTTAACATTAAATAACCCACAATGTTCCCTCTTCTCTCTCTTTCTCTCTAGTTGACATTTTATTACTTATTATTATTACTGATTTAATTTCTATACTGCCCAGTAGCTGAAGTTGTTTCATTTCAATGTTTGCTCTTACTTTGTGTTTTGATTTTGGCAGTGAGGATTTGATAATCAGTCTGATCTCATATTCCCAATGCTTCAAAGGGCTTCTCCATATGGGGCATTTAGCCCACCACTTTACCAAGGCATATTCTTCATTTATAGTGTTTTTTTCCTCCCAGAGTATTTTATTATGTAAACACAAGATGGCACTGTGGTATAGCTGCAGTATAGTGGAATTATGACAGTATGTACGCCTTTCATTCCAGATTGTCACTTATTTTAAATTTTAGCTGACTCTCTCTTTAAAAAAAAAAACCTGCTGAAAATGCCTGGAAAAATGGGAGAAGCCCTGGAGAATGACAGTGTCATGAAAATGACTTGCTAGCTTCTGAGAGTGGGGGTCATGTGTGCAAATTAAATGCCTCATGTAGAGAAGCCCAAATTCTGAAGATAAGCCTGTTTTAGAAACATTCTCACCTGCCTTGGTATAGAAAATATTCCCCTTGTTCGTCACAAACACAATAGCTTGGGTGTAAACACACATGTCTGCTTTCACAACCATTTCTTTCTCTAGTTTAATCATTGGTGAAAAAAAATTGCCTCCATCAACAGAGAGCCACACCTAAAAAAATGCACAAACGTGAATATAAAGAAGGATAATTTAAAATATAGCTAGACATCATAGTATATTGAATAAGGAGACCAATATTTATTACTTGTCAGGATCAGGGCTGGAGTGGCCCTGCAAATGCCTGCAGAACCAGGAACACCCTTGTAGACACCCAGCCCTTGCCTGCATTCCTGTTCCTGCCTGTCTTCCTGTCTACCTAACTTCTGCCCAGCTTCGGCCTGTTCCTGCTTCCATCCTTATCTCCAGCCTGACCCTGCCTTACCAAGTACCACAACCATCCTTCAAAATGTGATTCTCTTTCTGGACTGTGCTCTTGGACTTCAGGCTCTTGAACTTTTTGTTTTCTGGACCTTATTGTATCACTGGCTTTTGACCCTGAATTGTTCAAAGACCTGCCTCCTGCCTCAGGTCCTCTAAACCCATGGCAGGCTGCCACCCTGCATTTTGGACTGGTCCCAGTGTCCTGACTGTAGTCACCTGCTGCTCATATGCTGAACCTTACAGAAAGCCATCTAAGTACCGTTGAAATTACCTTCAGTACAATTCAATAACACAAGTTCCCTGCAGCCCGAAGCATCAGCAAATCAACACCACAGCTATGAAATATTACTACCACAAGAATCACAAGAATCTGAGTAGATGCGCTGTTAATTGCAACGAATAGAGTTAATTGCAACTAATTATGAGTGGACAGGAGGATTACCAATTACTTTGCATTGCCATTTATCTTCTGGGGAGCAAAGTCTTCCCTCCTGCCTTAACTATAATTTATATTAAGTGTTATGGCATCACCAACACAATTATCTATGGGGATTTAAAACCAATTTAAACAGGATTTTAAAATGGGACTAAATGGGAAACTTGGATTACTGCTGCCTATACTCCTATTGCTGGCATTGCTGCTAGTGTTTCTCCTAGGAGGTTAAGCTCCTTTCTAACGGTTAAAAATTGTATAAATTTATAAATTAAATTATTTTCATTATGCAATACATTAATGCAATTAAAGTTATAAAACTCATTAAACTAAATAGATCATTGCTCATTTAAAATTTAAAAAATAGTTTTAACTCTAGTATTAAAAATAAACCACTGTCCTTATAAATAACCTCCACCCTCTTTTTAATCCCACCTCCAAAAATTTTTATAAGCTGTCAGTTTGTTTGACAATCTCATTTGTCTTAACTATCTTATGATCCACTGGTTGCATTGTACTAAAAATAAAAAAAATAAATCCCTGACTTGCTCTGCCTCCCACAGAGAGCTGTAGATTGTTTTAAACCATTGGCACATAACTGATAGCATGACTCCATGCCAGTGTTTAAAAATACTGGCATCAGGAACAGAAATTGCATCTGGAGAGGGAGGGGAGAATCCAGAAGAGATAGAAAGAAGGGGTTGAGATTTGCTTGCATTCTGAAGCTGCATTGGAGATTTGCTTTTTAATTTTTCTTCTCTTTTTAAACAGAAGGGCACATGTGTTCACTCTAAAGTTGAAGCAAGTATATATATTTTAAAAGAAAGGAAGAGATAAATGGGATGAAGAAATGCTTCCTTGCCCACATTCCACGCTATTCATGTTATGAAATGAAAAGACTAGGGGCACAGGGATGGAGGGGATATTTCTGAACAGCTAATATTATGGGGATTTAGGAACACAGGAAGCTGCCTTATGCTGGGACAAATCATCAGTTCACCCAGCCCAATGTTGACTGGCAGGCACTCCAGAATTCCAGGCAGGATTTTTTCTTGCCTTATTTAGAGATGCCAAGGATCCAACCTGGGACCTTCTGCATGCAAAACCCATGATTTTCAACTGAGCTAGGGCCTCTCCTTTGCTTTTAAAATATCAGTTTTTCAACTTTTAAAATGTTACATGTGAATAGGTGGCATTTTAAAATTTGCTCCATTGTTGCAAATACTTTTGCCTGGAAAGAGCCACTGTTTCTTTTCCATTGGATGGCGTCTCTTCATATGTATTAACAGCAAATGTGCAAGGAAAGAGCAGCACAGAAAGAGATGAAGAGGGAGACAAACCAAATCCTACCCAACTAAAATGATACAGACATCAGCAAAGCAGATTTTATGTAGACAGGTCTATCAAGAACAGGACTTTTGGCGGGGGCAGGGGGCGCTCATTCCTAGGGTTGCCTTGGAGACAACTAGATGGCACATAGGCATAAGATGTCCTACGACATTTCAAGCCTCCTTCCTTCAATCACATGTGGATGGCTTGCAAAAGAAGTTAGGGACCTTAATAATGGTAATCACAATGTCAATGAAATTACTCATCAAAGTTAACAACCTATCTTGCACACCTGATTTCCATACACATACAGAAAATGACTATTTGGATGGAAGAACATCCCAAATGGAATAAAGGAACGATCGCGAAACCAGAAGGCTGGAAATTTTCTCTTTTTGTTCATTTCATTGTCTATTAATGAATGCACAGATACCAATGCTTTGTTCTAGAACAGAGAAAAGAAAAAAAATTAACTGCAGAACTTTGTACATAATCAGGAAGAAAGAATGATCTTCCAGAAACAAACATGTCAAGTAAATTTGTGTGAAGACAGGAAATTCTTCCCGAAATTTCCACTAGCAGGGCAGAATCTGCTTACCTTGTTTTACTGAATAGGTTTGATCCCTTTTCCTGAATATGTGGACAAGCTGCTCAGAGCTTTAAGATCACCCAAATGGTCTTCCTCTTCTGATGGATTAAATTGGCCAGAAGAGGACTTCTCACTTATATGAAGAAGACTGAGAACCCCTCTTTGTAGAAGTAACAACTGCCATCTATGCTGAAGTAGTAGAGTGTCTCTGTTTTGGTAAGCAGTGTCATACTGTAGCAGATACTTTTTCCAGTTCTGGAAACATTTAGTGCATTTTTTAGATTCCATCAAATTGGATTGCAGGGGTGGATCTGCAAATTTGTGCAAATGGTGTCTTTCTTCTTTAATTCCCTGTTTTTCACAAGTACATGGAATCAACTGGTCAATATGGATGGTCAATGGAGCCCTCTTTGAAGATCAGAAGAGTGGCTACCCAGAGAAGGGTCTTCTCTGCGGTGGCACCCCTGCTATGAAACATGCTCCTGAGAGAGGTGTGTTTGGTGCTGATACTTTTTACTTTTCAGTGCCAGGCCAAACCCTTTTAATTTCCTATTATTTTAAATGTTCATACTGTTTTAAGACTGGGTTTTATTTACTGTTTGTGTGTGTGTGTGTGTGTGTTTTATGTTCTACTTTATTGTATTACCGCCCTGAGACACAGTGAAGGGCAGGATATAAAAGCTTTAAATAATTGTGTAGAATTTTTCCTTGTAAATTGTCTGTTACAGGTGCCAAAGTGGAGGAACATCAAATGGAGTGGGTAACATACAAAGAAACTGATGAAGCAACTCTAGTGTAGGCTAATTTGTGCACAGTTGCAAATGACAAGGGGAAAATGATACTAAGACAAAGGAAGAACCCATTTATGAAAATCAGAAGCATAGAAAAATGCAAATACCAGTGTACCAAAGGGAGAGAAACAGTATCACACATTTTGCAATATAATTTTCTTAAGTGTTGAACTGACACTTATCAGTGGCCCTTTCAATACTTCCCAAAGTCTCCAGCAAGCCCAGAGTTGGGAGTTTGTGGCTTTCCACTCTTTTTGTAATTCCCTCTCAGAGTGGTTTCTCCTGGTTCTCCTCAATTTACTGCCAGCATTTACTTTAGCACAAATGTAGAGGCTGGGAAAAAATAGTGGTAGCAACTGAACAAATTTAAAGGCTGGATGGTAAACAAAGGGGAAATTTGCATAACAGCAGTAAGTGGTCAGGGGACTGATGAAACACTAATGTCAGTTCAACACATATTATAAACAGGGTTACAATGGAAGATAACATCTCCCATTCCTTTGGTGAACCACTTCCCATGATCACATTTTTTTTTCTTTTTCTACACTTCTGAATTGTGCAAAGGGGTTCCTTTTTTATCTTATCATTCTTTTGTACTGGTTCTTTGAAATATGTGCATATTAGCTTATATGAAGTTTTGCCTTGTCACTTCTTTATTACCTATTCCATTTTGGTTCTGCAGTTGACACATATAAAGGTGATACATACATATAAAGAAATTGACAAGATTACACATGTTGAACTGCTGAATCTACACTGTTGCACACTTGTGAATAACAGGGAGAAATTAAAACAAAAAAGCCATTTGCACATTTCAAGATTCACAATTTTTCTTTTAAAGAATCAAATGTGCGCAAAATGCTGAACTTAAAAAGCGATCTACATATTGGATAAACTCACTACAAACTAGAAAAATCTATTTTCACTCCATCCATGGAATTATCATACATCTCTACTAGATATGGTAGCTGAATTTATACATGACAAACCACAGCAGAAATGGCTTGTTGTTATGTGTAACTCCAGGAAGCATGGCACATTCGGTTACTGTGAATCCCCATGGAAAATGATGGTCTATTCTAGGGTTTCCGCATTTCAGCATGCTTGCTGTCATGTGTGAATTCAGTTCAGTTATTTTTTCTGTAGTTCCCCAGTTTCCAACAGCAAGAGACCACCGCATCCACCACCTTGCCAAATCACCCACCTTGCCGGCCACCTGGCATGGCTATACCACCATGCCCCCATCTGATGTGGCCTCACCAGGTGGGAAAGACCAGGTATTTTGGCAATCCAACTGAGAATCAGAGGATATCTACTGGAAGGGAACACAAGAGTGGTGCTACTCTAATGGGGGCTCTGTGGAGCAGCAGGCGAAACAAACAGCAGTTGGCTGAGAATATACCGGGGGGGGGGGGGCGGTGGCATTGCAGGCCAATGGGAAAGAGGCAGGAGGGACAGGCAGCATTGGTGCTCACTGGAAAGGGAAACATGCCTCCATTTGGACTCATGAATACTTACCTCGCAAATATGTGAACCCAGGGCACAAGGTAAGTTAGGTAACTTCACAGTAACCATTTGCATTATCTGTGAACTCAGGCTGTGAGCATGTTGGTGCCTTCTTTGTAGTACTGTGAACCTCAGTAACCTTTTGGATCATCTGACTAGCACAGGACTACAAGACACTGTTTGGAACTGGTTCTAATCCTATCTGGAGGGAAGCCCCTCCAGATATTGCTATCTAAAGGACTGCAGTTTAACTCCATTGCCACTGGCCTATGATGTTCTTCAGGATTCCATTTTCTCCTCCATGCTGTTCAATGTCTACATGAAACTATTGGGAGAGACCATCTAGTGATTTAATTTCAGCTTTCTTTTAATTAAATGCAAACAAGGCTGTGGAGGGTTTGACCTGGTGCCTGGATGCTGTGATGGGCTGAGTGTAGGCTAATAAAATCAGATTTCATCCAGACAAGACAGAAATGATATTGGTAAAAAGTACAGGTATCTCAGGTATAGGACTTATTATGGATGAAACTTCACCCTATTCGGTGGAATACCCTTGGATTCCACTTTCCTATTTAGGTCAGTAGGACTGCTTTTGCACAGCCTTGGCTGGTGAACTGGCTCTACCTTTTCTTGAAAAAGTAGATCTAGCCACTATTATATATGCCCTTGTCACATCCACAAAATGCAATGTGTTGTCCATGGAACTAACTTTAAAAACATGTTTAGAAACTAAAGCTGGTACAGAATACATCAACCAGTGTGGTTTCTAATGCAGGCAGTACACTCTGTGTCTTCTCTATTGTCTCCCAGGATGTTTCTGGGCTCAGTTCAAGACACCAATTACATAGAATGCCCTAAATTTATAAATCAGCCATAGAGCCAACTGGGTGAGTTTAGGTCAGTCACAAAGTCTCAGCCCAACCTACCTCCACAGGGTTGTTGTAGGGAAAAGACTGAGAGCAGGAAGGCGAGAATGATGTAAGCTGCTTTGAGTTCGTAAGAAAAAGCGAGATATAAATCAAATAAATAAATGCCTTGGAACCAGGCTATTTGAAGGACCACCTTCTTCTTTATCAGCCTGCTCACCCACTACATTTATTATTAAAGGCCCTGCTTGTCCCCTTACTTTCAGAGATTCGGTTGGCTGAGATATGTGACAATTGTCATGGGAGCAGTACCAAGGTCATGGAACTCCTGCCCTAGAGAAGCCTAGTTGGATCTTGGTTTCTCTTGGCCTTCAGGAAAGCAGTGAATTCATTCCTGTTTCATCATCATCTTTTTTATTGTTTAGCCATTAGGAATTGTTGTTGTTTGTGTCTTTTAAATCTCTATTCTTGATTGAAATTGATTTTACTGTAAATATTTAAATTGTTATAAGCTCCTTGGGGGCAAGGGGATGGGTTGAGACAGCTGTAAGAGACAATGTTGACACTAGGACAGTCAAGGAACTGAGGAATGCAGAACCTACATTGCTTCAGATACTGCTCTATTCTGAATCCATTCTGAATAGCAAAATAATGCTGCATACACTCTGTTAGTTTATGATATGGTATTTTTTCACATGCTGTACCTGTTGGGATAAAATAGCAATGCCTGTGTTCTGTTCATAGTCAACAATAAAAGAAACTACCCGTCTAGAAACCTGCTTTTCAGTTTTGCTTCTGTGAGGCAAGCAATTGTGCCATTTTATAAATGAATCATTACTATAGAAACATGTAGATTCCTGTTAAAAATAAGAGAGAGAGAGAGAGAGATTTAAAGTACAAGGTAATATACGGGTAGTAGACCAAGGGCTCTATCCTGTGGAGGGGCCACTTCACCCCTTACCCCATCCCAGACACTGCAGAAAGTTCAACAGTGGTTCATGTCAAAATCTCAAACAAGTACAAGAAGACAACAAAGGATATATTCTACTAGGTGAGGAGAGAAGGGGAAGCCAAGATATGCTGTATCCTGGGACTCCTTCAGCATAATTCTCTTAGATGGGCTGAAAGGCTCATCTAATGGAAACAGAGAACAGGAAAGTGAAAAATGCTTCCATTGTTCTTCCTGCCCTGCTGGCAGCAGCCTGATGGAAGCCTGGACACTTGAAGGTCTCCGAGATTGGAAGGCTCTGTCTAGTGAGCTGCAGGCTGATAGGATTGCAACCTTATGAATACATCATGGTTCCAACAAATCAAAAACAAAGAAGAAATTAAGTGCAGAAAGTTAGGAACTAAGGGTGAAGTTGCATATCATGTCCCTTTTTAAAAGTGTGCTTAAATTGGCCACCAATATTTTGAAGAAAATGTAGGCTAGAATGTGCTCCTGATCTAGACTATGGTCCCACACTGGTTTTACACAGCTCCTCTGTAACTTCTATTTTCCCCAGCAGCACCTTTGATATAGTTTTCAGTCAGAAACTGTGCATCACATGAATAAAACTCACTTTTTTAAAAGCATGAAGAACATTACAAGTAGTTTGCCCCTAAAAGCCACATTTATAGACATAAAAGCCCATAAATCCCAAGCATCTGAGTGTTGGAAACAGAGATGGCATTAGATACTCTAAACATGATAAGTATACTGGACCCATTTCAGTTTGGCTTCAGACCTGGCTATGGTACTGAATCTGCCTTGGTCGCCCTGTATGATGACCTGTGCAAGGAGATGGACAGGGGGAGTGCGTCCCTGTTGGTTCTTCTGGACCTCTCAGTGGCTTTCAATACCATCAACCATGGTATCCTTCTGGATAGGCTGACTCCTCCTTGAATTTGAGGAATGCCTTCACCCACATTCCTAATTATTTAGGGTAGCCATCACACTGAGATCTCCTATCCATTCCTTAATCATCTATACATCATTATATAAACTGGAAAGAGAAACTCCAGTGTATCAGTGCTGGCCGAAATGCTACAAACTACAGTAACTCTCTATGGAAAGGCTGAATCTAATATAGTCTCTGCTCAAACCTCTTCTTTATTTCTGAACATTTATTTGCCACCATTATCAGGAAGTCAGACTCTTACTAAACAAAACAGGTGTTGATTATAATCAACTAAACATTATCAGGCCTTAATGCTATTTGTCTTACCTGGCTCAATGTCTTGTCTTTGTTGAATGAGAGACCAACAAAGTCCACTGAAGAAAATAATAAATATATTACTCACAAGTTACAGCCTGTATCGCTACAACAGAGTTCACAAAATGTATCCACCTAGTTTTATGTTGCAAAGAGCGCAAAGGCATTTTTGTTATACATTTCAAAATATATAAGCTTGTACAAGATAGAAGGGGGCCTTCTGGCTAATGAAGTGGAATAAAAAAATCAAATAAATAAATAAATACACCAGGAGGTATAAAAATACAGTTGATGGCTACACACGAAATACCTTCTGTTGCATGAATTACAGCTGAACTTACCAATGACTACAAATTACATCAACAGTGCTATTAACCACACTGAAGACTAGCTAAGACCTTACACTTTTTATCAAGCTTTGAATAAGATAACCAGTGTGGTGCTGTGATTAATAGTGAAGGTCTGGAACTCAGGCAATCTGGGTTTTAGTTCCCACTCAGCCATGGAGTCAATGGAGTGACTTTGGGCCAGTCACAGACTCTCAGACCAACATGTCTCACAGGGCTGTTGTTGTGGGGATAAGAAAGCAGAAGGAAGAGAATAATGGAAGCTAATTTTTTCTTTGTAAAAAAAAGGCAGGATAGAAATCTAACAAATAAATAAAATAAATAAAACTAGCTAGCCTATCTATATAGCCTATAACTTTGGAGCTGATTGTAATGTTTGGCCATCGTTAAAGATCAACACTCTCTGTTGTAATGCATTCCTAATATTCACAGAGGTTCTAAAGGTTTAAGAAGCCCCTGCTTTCTTTCAATATGTATAATCAGATTCTATTGTGGAATTAGTGGAAGAATTCAGCCACTTTTTGCACCATGATTTAACAAAGATGAGAGATGTGTAACTTAAAAGTAACTTAAAGTTCTTTCAGAATTTTTTTGTACATGCAAGTGTCTCCATATGAAAAGAGCCCTGTGTATTTTAATTAATTTTTATTAATACCAAAACAAATACAAGTGTCATATCTCTCTCTCTCTCTCTCTCTCTCTCTCTCTCTCTCTCACATAAAAGTAAGTTAGTGCACTGTCAATACTTCTGTAAAAACAGATGCACTATATGAAGAGGCTAGTTCATAGAAGGGCAAACTGTATATGACTTCAAAGATGTAGCTGGGTTGGGGGTTTGTTTTTTTTCCTCTTAAAATTTAATTCATTGGACCAAATATGGATTAGGACTATAGAGTGGCAGATAGAGAGATTTAACCCTTTGACTGCTATTAAAATTAGTACTAGATACCTATTTGACCTTTCACAATGGAATTCTCAGAGCCTGATCCTAATGCCCTTGATATAGTTGGGACCACAGCAGGTAATCAAAAGATTAAAGTCTCCCTAGCCTTCCATGCTGTGACCCTACTCTACATAGTGACATACAGTTGATGCTCTCACCTTGTGAGGACACATTTTGTAATTAAAAGAATAGGTACTGCACACTGAAATTCTCTATAAAACAATTCTTCTGAAAACTTTGTCATACAGAGAGCATTCTAGCTTCAGAGTGAAAATGAGCATCCTTGACATAACTTCACCAGCAATTACTGCCATAGCCTTTCATGGGAGAACACAAACTTGATCAGTTTTGAGCTGTAAATCAGAGCTTCAATAAATTAATTTAAGGTACACCTCCTCAACAAGTCTGAAAAAATTATTGCAGTAGTTTTCAGTAAAATCTATAAGAAAACTATGACATACTGAGGTGTACTAGATTTTTTAAAAAGCCAATTTTCAGCACTAGTTAACTTGCTGTGGCTGTGGCTATCTGTATCAGATTGGTTTAAAATTCTGCATAACTGCAGACCGCACCAGGTACATCATGACAAAATATCATCCTTACAAATAGAATTTTGAGGTTTATAATGGCAACTCGTGTGTGTGTGTGTGTGTGTGTGTGCGCGCGCGCGCGCAAAACTCATTTTAAATAAAGAGGCACCCCTATGCTCCTTTAATTTATATAGCTGGTTAAATCAACATGTCCTGATCTTGGCAGTAGAAATTATAAAGGATTTATGTTAAAGGATGTCTCAACATCTGCAAAGAATAACATTTTTAAAAACCAGTAATGATGTGCCTCTCAGATATTCCCCTTCTTGCATTATATGCCTATACTGCTTGCAAATTTGGTTTCCTCACCTTCATAATGTTCTCTGTTAGCTAGACATTGGCGGTTATACCATATTCTTGCTCTGAAATAATCATCCTATGAAAAACAGAATGTGAAATAAATGGTACAACTGGTAAGATTCTGGAATAGTTCACTAGATCACTTCCTAGACACTGCATAGTGCCTCAACAACTTTGTGGTGTGCCAAATGTCAGAGAATCATAGAATCGTAGAATAGAAGTGTTGGAAGGGGTCATGAAGACCCCCTGAGGTTGCAGGAAACCAATCTAAACCATCTTACTTAAGTAAAAATGAACAGTCAGGCTGAAGGACAACCCTATCCTGTGGAATGTAAGGAAAGGTGTGTCATGTTGGAGCACACAAAGTTCCAGGTACATGTAGAAAGACATAGTTAGGAGATGTAGACCTATTGTGGTAAGCAACTTGAAGGGTTTGGAGGTTAACTAGAACCACTGAAAGACTCCATGAAGAACGGGGGCAGTAGCTGGCAGATATTATTTATTTATTTATTTATTTATTTATTTAGAACATTTCTATGCCGCCCCATTTGCAAAAAGCCTCGGGGCGGCTTACAAAATAAATAAAAGATATACAGTGGTAGAGCCCTTGAGGAACTTTTGGTGTAGAGGATGAGAGAACATGGTTACTCTGATGATAGGCTTGCATTAAGCTGAGATTGCTGCTAGACGGACTTTGATAGAAGAAAGAGTTATGGCCTTACTCTTACATGAAACCCACAATAGCCAATAAAACAGAGGAGAATGGGAGTAGCTCCCATGCAGGGGTGAAGGACTTAATGGGTTTCTGCAAGAGTGCCAAGTGGCAGCCTTACGAGAAACTGTCAGGTAATGGAGTGTTGGGAGGTTTAAAGACTATGCATAACGGCCCATCTGGAGACTTCTGGATATGAATACTATTGTCAATACCAATAGTAGGTGGGGTCAATAACACAGCAATGACCATATATCCTGGGTTTTAATAATAGTAAAAATCATATAATAGTGACAGAGGTAGCCATAGTTCTCTATGGGCAAGTCAGAACTGTGGTAGAAGAACCTAGAGGATTCAGAAGATGTTACCAAGGATCCTGTAAGCCATGGGTATTCAAACTATGGCCTGCAGGCTGAATTCGGCCTGCCTGAGGTTTTGGACTTGCCGCGCATGCCGCACCTGCCCACCTCACCCCGTGCGTGCCCACCACCGCCTCACCGCATGCATGGGAAGGTGGCAACTTGCCCACGCGGAGATCTTTTTGGACTTGCTCATAGAAAACAATCTCCAACCGAGCAAGCCGCTGCATTGTGCACCCGCCACTGCTTCACTGCGTGCCCCGCCCCCACCTCCCTTCCCCTCCCCTCGCCGTACGCCCCCACCCCCACCTCACCTCCTTTCCCCTCAGCCCACCCCCACCCCACCTTACCGCACAAGCGTGCCCCGCTCTCGCCCCCTAGCTGGCCCGTGCCCACCACTGGCACCATTCAACTGGCCCCCTGTTGAAAAAGTTTGAGGACCTCTTATGTAACCGATCAACATCTGCAAGGAGACTGGTGGAATGGTAAGTTCCATCGAGAAATATAGCAAGGATTCACCACTACAAAAAGAGCCAAACCACTGATGATCAAACTGTGAATTATGTCCATCAAGGACATAATACTTTTCTAGTACTGGTGTTGGAGGGTAAGAGAAAAGCTGTGGGATCAGTTAGCTCTGTGGGTGTAAGGGTCAGGAAAGGCTCCAGTTTGGCATAGGACTTCATTCAACAATTTGACTTTTTTGTTTTTGAACCTGGAGAGAAGCAAAAAAAAAAAAAAAAAAAAGTAGTTTCTTACCATTTCAAAACCACATAAGACTGGTTTCTTGAACTGGAAGAAAATCAGATAAAATAAATAAAACATGACTTTCTTTCCGGCAACTGCAATTTTACAAAGACATCATGTTGCATATTCATTTACTATTTACACTCAACCTTGATATTATTGATTTATGCATTGCTTCCCACCACAAAAAAATCTTGGAAATGACTTAGGGCACAATCCTATGTTCCCTCAACATATCTGGAAAACCATAGGATTTGTAAAGTTTGAGCAGCAAAGTCCCGCCCCCATACAGACAGTGTGAAAAGAACCATATCAGCTGCCTGCCCACAAGGCTGCAGCAGGGCTTTGAAGATTGCAATAAGGGGCATGCTGGGCAGCAGGGAGGAAAGGAGGTGTAGAGCTGCACTGATTCCAATCAGCACATCAGCCACCTTCACTCCCCCTCTTCCTTGTTCAAGGTGTGACAGCAACAGAGGTGGCTGCTGACACTCCTTGCACATTGTATCAAGTGTTTCTAAGCCTCCAAAGTTCAGAGGCTCACAAATGTCTGCTATGAGTGTAAGGGGATTTCACTCTCCCACACATACATGCAAAAAGCATAATTGCTATAATAAAAAATCCCCAAATCTATCTATCTATCTATCTATCTATCTATCTATCTATCTATCTATCTAATCACAATCAACACAACAATTCAAATAAAATAAAGATCACTATAAACAGGTAATGAAGATCACCATAAACAGGTGATCTCAAATATATAGTATGAACAATGTTTATCCACAATATGCTTCAAAGTATGTTCCCCTGTAATATTATAATGAGTAAAAGAAATAATAATATTTTTAGTCATGCACTCACACTAGCACTGGCTTCTCAAATATTTTAGCCATGAGATGCAGTTCACCTAAGGAGTTCAGCTGCTACACTTGATTAGCAATGCAAAAGCAGACACATTCTTATACTTGGTTCAATTAGAATAAACTCATGTGTTGTTCAGTGACATAAGAAATGTCTCAGGAGGTAGGCTTCGTTTCAGTTCTTTATACAGTAAGTTATTGCTTACTGTGGACTCTGCCTTCAGGCTCCTTCCTCCATGTGTCAAGCTAACCTTATCTGATTTCAATCTGGGTTTCAGAATCTCCTTTGCAAAGATGTCCTACTTGCCTGAACAAGTTCTAAATCTTAGAAATGCCCAGCCAGTTTCAGCTATGGGATAGTATAAAAATGAAATAACTAATATTAATTGGACTGTGGCTATCCGGTCTGAAGCATGCATGCAACAAAAGATAATGCTGGACAAGAACAGAAAGACTAATGGGATTGACTGTGGCATCTTAGGACTACAGTTTCAATCATAATGAAGTGACTTTGAACATTACTTCAGTATATTTATTAAGAGTTGTATAACAACAGATAGGAAAGGGTATATTCAAAAAGAAACATATGTACCTTCAGCAATTCTCCAGTTGTGTAACGTAAATCTTCACTAATAAATAATCCTAGTGTAGTAAGCATTATTAAACGTGTATTTATTAAAATGATATCAACAAGAGCAAGACCAGCGCAATCTGTAGGAAAGAAATGAAATGTCAGGCATTTTTTCGCTTATTTCTCAGTGTTGCATCATTATTTTCTAAAGGCAAGGCAAATTACAAACTTATTTCAAACATGTAATTTAATTCCCCCTTTTCCAGCCAAATCATATTGATCCAACAGACCTGGGAATAATAGAAGTCTGTCAGGGTTAAAGGAGGGTTTCAGATGCAGTTTGAAATAGGATGCTGGACAGCTTTAGAGGCCAGCTTTGCAAATACCTGGGATCAACAGAAAGATGAACAAGTGAGTCCTACATCAAATCAACCCAAAAGATTCTCCCCAGCTCCTAGGAATTCTGCCAGGAGAATTGATATATTTAATTGGAGGAGGAAGACAGGGAACAGACTGCAGAGGAAGAATTGCAAGGGAATCTGTGCAATACAGAGCAAAGAAAAAGACAATTGACCAAGAAAAAGAAAAGTAGTTGTTATGGGAGACACCTTGTTACATGGGATTAAATCCCAAGTGTGTTATGATGACGCATGGACTCACCTGGAGAGCTTTAAATTGAATCCTACTTGGGAGAGAGATGTGGAGACAATGGGAGAAGAAGACTTATGCACCATAACACAGAGAAGAATTCTAGTAGTACCCCCAAATAGTCTTCAGAGGAAAGAAGCCAGACCATAAAGCACAGGGCTTCAGTATCTATCTACTAATGTCCAGAGTACAGGAAACAAGCAGAATGAACTGGAACTCCTAATAAGGTAAAGGTAAAGGTTTCCCCTTGACATTAAGTCCAGTCATGCCTGAGTCCAGGGGGCGGTGCTCATCTCCGTTTCCTAGCCGAAGAGTTTGTCCGCAGACAGTCTCCGTGGTCATGTGGCCGGCATGACTAAACACTGAAGTGCATGGAACACTGTTATCTGCCCACCGAAGTGGTACCTTTTTATCTACTTGCATTTGCATGCTTTCGAACTGCAAGGTTGGCAGGAGCTAGGACAGAGCAACGGAAACTCACCCCGTTGTGCAGATTCGAACCGGCAACCTTTCAATCTACCAGCCCAGCAGCAGAGCGGTTTAAACCACTGCACCACCTGCAGTCCCAGAATTCCTAATACACGAAGGCAAATGCAACTTGATAGGTATTACTGAAATTCGGTCTGATGACTGGAATGTAACAAATGAAGGGTCTAATTTGTTCAAAAAGAACAGAAGAAATAAGAAATGAGGTGGAGTTGCATTATTCAATCCTGCACAGAAATATAGAAAGATGAGCCGGGTAGCCCCATTGAGAGCATCTGGGTCTAAAAATGTCAAGGTATGACTGGAACATGACAGTTGGAGTCTACTACTAACCATCCAATGAAGAAGATGAGAATCAAAGTTTTGTCAACCAAATTGCCAGATAACTGTTGGGAGACAAATTCTGCCAAAAGTGGCCCCTCCAAGAAATTCTTGCCATGCATGGCAGATAACCTTTTTCTGCAAGTCAGTAGAAAGTAGAGGATGGAACGAGAGTTAGTTAAAAAAAAAAAAAGTTAGTGTGAGTTAGAAGGCTGCTGCATTTGCATCTTGCATTGCAGATTTTAAGCTCAGAAGGAGTTAGGTGACCACCAAGATAGCTTTGAATTCTGTGACAAACCCTCTGGAAGCTGAGTTGGTGAGGGCAGACAGACAAAGCGAAGAGAGCAGTGGTGTGCAGTCGTGCAATGGCTCTGAACATTGCACCGGCTAAGCAGAGAAGAGGTAGGGATGACCTATTTATGAGCGACATCCATTTCACATGTGTTCAATCAGAAATCTGTTCTGTCCCATTTTCTGTTATTTTTAATGCACAAAAATACGCTATTTTGTACATATTTCCCCATAAAATGTACATTTTCACTTAAGCATGTGAACAGTATGCTTAAGATGACTGGTGGAGCAGGGAGGACGGTAAAGGGCAGTGACAAGTGACAACACCTCCTGTCTCTCCCCAGCTACAAGAACAAGATATCTATCTTGAAACAGCTGTCCCTTGCAGATCAGGTAGGATACGTAAGTGCATGATCAGAGGGCACTTTGAGGGAAGGCAACAGATATGCCAGTATCAGATGAAACCCTTCATCAGACTACAGAACTCCAGCTGTGATACCACCTAGGGTAAGAGGACTAGGAGGGCTGAAAGAACATTCTCATCTCCATGGAAGGAGCACCTGGATTTGCCAGTTAGTATTTTGAGGAAGAGACACTTCCTTGGCCATTGATGAGAGAAGGTTCTCTAGATCCTAGAGCACTTTCCCCTTGATTTGGAGTGCTGTCATGACTGTGCTTCTAACTCTGAGGCCCATAAAACATTCTACAAAAGCTGCTATATATACTGAACCCTTAGAATAGAACAGGGCATAACATCAAAAGAATATAAACATTATAATTAAAATATTGAGAAGAAGAAGAAATTACCATCTCCCAGGGCTGCACAAATTGTATCTGTCATGTTATGCCATACTGTATCTCGAGTCATAAATCCATTTTTAGTGATTCCTATAATTATTCCTACTAATGTCAAAGAAAAGTATACATACATGAATACACAGTCATGATATAAAACCAGCTGAGCAACACTTAATATAATGTTACATGAGTCCCACTTGCCTGAAAAGTGAGAAAGTTCTAGCATTTTCATTTCCTTTAGATAAAGAGATAATCAAAAGGTTTAAGGCATCTGATTTTATTTCCCACTGTATAAAAAAAATACTGTACTGCATAGGCAGCAGCACAGCTTAACATTACAAAGGCAGCAAAATCCACTGTTTTTGTAACAGATATACTTAAAGAGCCTCCTCTTAATAGATGTTTCCTCCACCTGCTAATAACTGGTTTGCTGGCTCTAGTCCTTGGGTAGAGGCAGGAGTTCCTCCAAGCTGTTGTTGTTGTTAGTCGCGAAGTCGTGTCCGACCCATCGCAACCCCATGGACAACATTCCTCCAGGCCTTCCTGTCCTCCACCATCTCCTGGAGTCCACTTAAGCTCATACCAACTGCTTCAGTGACTCCATCTAGCCACCTCATCCTCTGCTGTCCCCTTCTTCTTTTGCCATCTATTGTTCCCAGCATTAGGCTCTTCTCCAGGGAGTCCTTCCTTCTCATTAGGTGGCCAAAGTATTTGAGTTTCATCTTCAGGATCTGGCCTTCTAAAGAGCAGTCGGGGTTGACCTCTAGGACTGACCAGTTTGATCACCTTGCGGTCCAAGGGACTCTCAGGTGTCTTCTCCAGCACCACAGTTCAAAGGCCTCAATCCTTTGGCGCTCAGCCTTCCTTATGGTCCAGCTTTCACAGCCATACATTGCAACTGGGAAAACCATAGCCTTGACTATATGCACTTTTGTTGGCTGGGTGATGTCTCTGCTTTTTAGTATGCTGTCTAGATTTGCCACAGTTTTCCTCCCCTGGAGCAAGTGTCTTTTAATTTCTTGGCTGCAGTCCCCATCTGCAGTGATCTTGGAGCCCAGGAAGATAAAATCGGTCACTACCTCCATTTCTTCCCCATCTATTTGCCAGGAAGTGAGAGGATCGGATGCCATGATCTTAGTTTTCTTAATGTTGAGTTTCAAGCCAACTTTTGTGCTCTCCTCCTTCACCCGCGTCAAGAGGCTCTTTAGTTCCACTTCACTTTCTGCCATGAGAGTGGTATCATCTGCATAGCTGAGGTTGTTGATATTTCTCCCAGCAATCTTAATTCAAACTGGTGATTCATCTAGCCCCACCTTTCTCATGATGTGCTCTGCATATAAGTTAAATGGACAGGACGACTGTATACAGCCTTGCTGAACTCCTTTCTCAATTTTGAACCAATCAGTGGTTTTGTGTCCAGTTCTCACTGTTGCTTCTTGACCCGCATAAAGGTTTCTCAAGAGACAAATAAGATGGTCTGGTACTTCCATCTCTTTAAGAACTTTCCACAATTTGTTGAAATCCACACAATCAAAGGCTTTAGCATAGTCAATGAAGCAGAAGTAGATGTTTTTCTGGAACTCCCTAGCTTTCTCCATGAACCAGCATATGTTGGCAATTTGATCTCTAGTTCCTCTCCCTCTTCGAAAAACTGCCTGTACTTCTGGTAGTTCTCAGTCAACATACTGCTGGAGCCTAGCCTGTAGGATTTTGAGCATAACTTTGCTGGCATGTGAAATGAGTGCAATGGTGTGGTAGTTTGAACATTCTTTCGCATTGCCCTTCTTTGGGAATGTAAACTGACCTTTTCCAATCCCGTGGCCACTGCTGAGTTTTCCAAATTTGCTGGCATATTGAGTGTAGCACTTTTACTGCATTGTCTTTTAAGATTTTGAATAGCTCAGCTGGAATACTGTCACCTCCACTTGCTTTGTTGTTGCTCAGACTTTCTAAGGCTCATTTGACTTCATATTCCAGGATGTCTGATTTGAGGTCAATGACCACCCCATCGTGGTTATCAGGGATGTTAAGCTCTTTCTTGTATAGTTCTTCTGTGTAATCTTGCCACCTCTTCTTAATCTCTTCTGCCTCTGTTAGGTCCCTGCCATTTTGGTCCTTTATCATGCCCATCTTTGCATGAAATTTTCCCTTCATATCTCCAATTTTCTTGAAGAGATCTCTGGTCCTCCCTATTGTTTTCTTATATTTCTTTGCACTGTTCATTTAGGAAGGCATTCTTATCTCTTCTAGCTATTCTCTGGAATTCTGCATTCAATTGGGTGTATCTTTCTCCTTCTCCCTTGCCTTTCGCTTCCCTTCTTTCCTCAGCTATTTGTAAAGCTTCCTCAGACAGCCATTTTGCTTTCTTGCATTTCTTTATCTTTGGGATGGCTTTAGTTGCTACCTCTTGTACAATGTTGTGAACCTTCTTCCATGGTTCTTCAGGCACTCTGTCAGATCTAATTCCGTAAATCTATTTCTCACCTCTACTGTACATCGTCAGGGATATGATTTAAGTCATACCTGAGTGGCCTAGTGCTTTTCCCTACTTTCTTCAATTTAAGCCTAAATTTTGCAACAAGAAGCTCATGATCTGAGCCACAGTCAGCTCCTGGTCTAGTTTTTACTGACTGTATAGAGCGTCTCCATTTTTGGCTGCAGAGCACATAGTCAATCTGATTTCTGTGTTGACCGTCTGGTGATGTCCATGTGTAGAGTCATCTCTTGGGTTGTTGGAAAAGAGTGTTTGCTATGACCATCATATTCTCTAGACAAAATTCTACCAGCCTGTGCCCTGCTTCATTTTGTACTCCAAGGCCAAACTTGCCTGTCATTCCGGTTATCTTTTGGCTTCCTACTTTAGCATTCCAATCCCCCATGATGATAAAGACATCATTTTTTGGTGTTAATTCTAGAAGGTGTTGTAAGCCTTCACAGAACTGGTCAACTTCAGCCTCTTCAGCACCAGTGGTTGGGGCACAGACTTGGACTATTGTGATGTTGAATGGTTTGCCTTGGATTCAAACTGAGATCATTCCGTCATTTTGGAGGTTGTATCCCAGTACTGCTTTTCCTACTCTTTTATTGACTATGAAGGCTACTCCATTTCTTATGAGGGATTCTTGCCCGCAGTAGTATACCTGATGGTCATCTGAATTAAATTCACCCATTCCTGTCCATTTTAGTTCATTGATTCCTAAGATGTCGATGTTCAGTCTTGTCATCTCTTGTTTGACCACATCCAGCTTGCCTTGATTTACATTTCAGGTTCCTATGGAGTATAGATCTTTGCAGCATCGGACTTTCCTTTCACCACCAGATACATCTGCAACTGAGTGTCCTTTCGGCTTTGACCCAGTCACTTCATTCTTTCTGGCACTACTAGTACTAGCCCTCTGCTCTTCCCCAGTAGCATATTGGACACCTTTCGACCTGAGGGGCTCATCTTCCGGGGTCATATCTTTTTGCCTTTTGGTAGTGTCCATGGGGTTTTCATGGCAAAGATACTGGAGTGGGTCGCCATTTCCTTCTCCAGTGTACAAACCTAAAAATGTTGCTAAAGTTTATCCATAATCTCATGTAAAAGTGTAATGGCTTCAACACCATTTGAGAACAAAGATTGGCACTAAACTAGAGCCAGCTTATGAAAATTGGAGTCAACTCATAAAAGCCAGTAACTGGTTCAGACAACCCAATAACTCACACTCAAGGAACTCTATCCAAAGCCTCAAACACTCACATGGACACTGGTTGCAATGTCACTATGTACTTCAAGCCTTCTCTGTGGAGTTATGAGGGGAAGAGTGACCCAGGCAAGACCCATGCATCAACTTTAAAAGGGCCACGTCCCTACCAAACTTGTATGCTGCATGAAAGTTGCTGAAATGCTAACTCAAAGAAATTAGATACAAATTACTATAAATACAGGGAATAAATAATAATAATAATAATAATAATAATAATAATAATAATAATAAATTGCTATAAATATTTTCCCAGTCACACAAAGAAAGAGAATGGAGGCAGGCAGGCAGCTTCTCTTTGAAGAAAGACCTCAAAGAGTAACTTTCCCTGGTGTAAAGCCCTTTCCTGTAGACTGCAACTTTTAGTTAAGTGAAAAACAAACCAAAACAATTTGTTGTTGGTGTTTTGTTGTATTAGTCTCATTATATGCCATGAAATATCTGGGAGCAGAGGGAAGACCAGGTGCTAAAACGATGAGAACCTTGGCACCAAGCAAGTATCAATGGGGGGAGCATTCCATAACTGAGGGTGGGAGCACTACTGAGAAGGTGCTCCCCCTTGTTCCCGCTCTCCAGGGCACCCTTGGAGGAGGCAGCTGGAGGAAGGCCTCAGATATAGATTGAAGTGTCTGAGTGGGCTGAGACTGGGAGAAGCATTCTCTGATGCCTCCATTTATACCAAAGACTCTTCTGCAGACTATTAACTAACAAGGCAGGCAGAGCTGAGTAGAGACTGACTATAAGCAGCACTGCAGCATCAACTACCTGGGTTGGGGCTTGTTAGCTGGGCTTGTCAAATGCCAGATGGCTCTTCCTCCTCCATAAAAAAGAGGATGCTTGCAGAAGTCAGATGTCTCACATACATGCATAAGCTGGGTTGCAAAACCTGGAGCATATTGCAAGTTCTTGATCAGATTCTGGGGAAATATCACTAATAGTATGTACACATATGTTTTGTCTATTTTATCCACATTTGGGCCATGAGACATATGCTTGTATATGGTTTAATAGACACTGTCAATCCTCCATCTAGTCACCCACACACAATAGATCTGTTTTTTCCCCATCTGGCAAGAGATGAAAGCATCCAGCCTATTGGCCTTGCGCCTAAATGGAGTCTGTTTGGTTCAGTCTAACTGAGCTGCTTCATAACAAATCCTACCCATTTATTTAGAAGTGAAAAACATGAAAGCTAATAAGACTTACTCCCACTGCTGATTAAGTAAACAAGCATAAGATTGCTTGATAAGAAGGTGAAGCTGTAAGTTTGGCAGCTGTTGCCTTCACTTATTTCATCATGTACAAACATAAGATGTTGCACTTACCTGTAGCTTTAGCTCCATAAATCAGACCAATTATTGCTGCATCACTTGCACAAGGACTCTTTGTTATTGTGACATTTATTACTTTTGGTATTGTTTCTGTAATATTCACTTGAACTCCAAGTGAGTACATCCACTGAAGAATAGGTTCTACAGAAGAGAAAATATTGAAGTCTGACTGTAAGAAATCAAAAATATGTTGTGCTGTAACTTAAAAAGAAAATGAGCAGCTACAATATTTGGTTCTCTCACTGAAATGTGTGATGCTGAGTTAGAAAATGACTTCTTCAGTTTGATAGAGCAGTGAGCATACCAAGCACAATAAGCCATAATGAACTGACTGTTCTTTGAAAAATCCACAGTGAGCCTGACAGACAACTGACGCTCACCATGGGCTGTTCACTCACTCTGTCCTCCTCAATTCTCCAGGTACCACAGGAGGGCTGAGTTGTCTCCCCACTCAATGTTGCAATTGTGGGTCCATTTTGGCTTGCTGCAGCTTTTTTGCAGTTTATATTTTTTCCAGTGTTCATGGAAGTCAACTTCATAGTTGAATTTCACAATCCCCATTTTGTGCAGCTTAGAAATATGTTCTGTGGATCTGTTCCTTGTTGAACTAAGAAACTGAAAAGGTGGTTGAGGGTAGGGAAGATTTTTAAGCTTGAGAAGGAGGTAGGCAGATCTTTTTCTAAATGGCTAGTGAATTATGTAATATACATAGAGGTATCCACATACGGCTGGCTCCTGACAAACCACCTGGGACCATGCACTAGGAAGATACAATCCATTGGGTACATTGAAACTTGCTGCAGAAGGGCCTTAGACAGTGCTAAGACCAGTGGACTGTCCTCATAAAACATGGAAGTTGTTTGTAAGGACAAGCCTAATAGTGCCAGTTCTGCTACATTGCCCTCCAAGAAGAATAGCCTTCATAAATTTTGCTGGAAGTATAATCAGGGGAAATGTCAGAGAACAAGCTGAAGCTTTTCCCATGACCGTGATAAGTCTCTGGGCCCTTATCATAGGACTCATGACTGCAGGGGCAATGGCAGCTAGCCAGGCTTCTTTTGAAGAAGCAAACAATAGTGAGAAAAACTAAAGGCACTGGTATCCCTGGTTTCACCACATCATACAAAAAAGTATGCTATCTGACATGGGCACAGGGGTCATGGAGCTTGCCCACATTCCAGGTCGTCCCTCTTCCTTATGCCCCCACTTTGACTGCTACCCAGACAGGGCATTGGGAAATTACTCGTGCTGAGGTTCACTCATGGATTTTAAATTCCTTTTCAGGACACTAAAAAACTACAGACACTAACCTTAAAGCAGCTGAGATTAGAGCGATTAGAGATACACAAGGACTGGGATGCTAGCAAAGTGGCTAGCGATTCTGCTGCCCCCACATTCCTCATACATTCCGTCCTATACCAAACCTCTAGCTATCAGCACTAGGCATGGTCTCAAAGCTGTCTCAAGTAAGATGATCATGGTGGTGGTGAAGATTCATATTTATATACCTCTTTCAATAGAGATACTGAAGCAGTGAAAATAAAGTATAATCCCATCAAACAACAATAAACTGTAACAATAGAGCACAATAACATAACTATCAGCAGTAAAACTGCACATATTGCTGGGTACTACAGACAGTAGATCACATGGCACCCTCAAAAGCACTCCTCTCCTGAGGATATCACTTGGATATCATTTAGACTCATTCATCATTTTTCTTACCCTAATAAGGGCTCAATTAATGTCATCTTTGCATGGCTTTGCTCAGTATATTTTACAGTGTTTTACTATGGAGTTAGTCTGCAAAAAAGGGGCTTTGATGACAAAAAAATATCCTTTGACTTAGCAGCAGCCAGCCCCTAGACTTTAACTTATTTGCCTTATATCTGACAGCCTGTACTTAGTTGACAAGGCCTTGCCAATGCGTTGCTTCATAGTTTGCACAGCTACTGAGAGTTTTAACACTTTCTTGAGCAACAGAAGATAGGGTGGTCCACCTCCACATCAATAACACTTGGACAATATTTTCTTCACTATGGAATGCTTGGATTTTCTTTGAACTTTCCAAGCATTGGAACAAGATGTTGGGGATGCTTCTGGGATAGGGCAATATCAAGAGCTTTTCTGCCAAGCTAGTATTCTTTGGCAACCAAATGGTCCAAGGGGCCTGGACTTCATGCTTGCTGAAAGACAAGCTGCTGGCATTAATGGATGAAACTGAGCACTTGCTTCAGTATAGTATATGCATCTTTGGGGAGATGCTTTAGGGTCACCTCAATGTCAAATGCAGGGTTTGGGCAGACCCTTCTGCACCCCCTGAACAGATCCTCTACCAGGACTCCACCAACAACCCCATCAGTTCCTTCCCATGCTTGTAACAATGTTGATTTAGCAGGAGCAGCTCAGGGACATGCAACTTTTGTTGTTGTTGTTGTTAGTCGCAAAGTCATGTCCGACCCATCGCAACCCCGCAACAACATTCCTCCAGGCCTTCCTGTCCTCCACCATCCCCCAGAGTCCACTCAAGCTCACACCAACTGCTTCAGTGACTCCATGTAGCCACCTCATCCTCTGCCGCCCCCTTCTTCTTTTGCCATCTATTGTTCCCAGCATCAGGCTCTTCTCCAGGGAGTCCTTCCTTCTCATTAGGTGGCCAAAGTATTTGAGTTTCATCTTCAGGATCTGGCCTTCTAAAGAGCAGTCAGGGTTGATCTCCTCTAGGACTGACTGGTTGGATTGCCTTGTGGTCCAAGGGACTCGCAGGAGTCTCCTCCAGCACCACAATTCAAAGGCCTCAATCCTTTGGTGCTCAGCCTTCCTTATGGTCCAGCTTTCACAGCCATACATTGCAACTGGGAAAACCATAGCCTTGACTATACGCACTTTTGTTGGCAGGGTGATGTCTCTGCTTTTTAGTATGCTGTCTAGATTTGCCATAGCTTTCCTGCCCAGGAGGAAGCATCTTTTAATTTCTTGGCTGCAGTCCCCGTCTGCGGTGATCTTGGAGCCCAGGAGAATAAAATCTGTCATTACCTCCATTTCTTCCCCATCTATTCGCCAGGAACTGAGAGGACCGGATGCCATGATCTTAGTTTTCTTAATGTTGAGTTTCAAGCCAACTTTTGCTTGAAACTTTACTTCTGCATGCATGCAACTTTACTTCTGTACAATAGTCAGGTAGCAGTATGGGTCAATAAGAGCCAGAACTCCCATTCTGCAGTTAACCAGGAATTTTGTTATTTGTTATTGTTATATGTTGTCAAGTCATCTCCAACTTATGGCAACCCTATGAATGAAAGCCCTTCAAAATGTCCTACCCTTGACCGCCCAGCTCAGCTTTTGTAAATTCAGGGCTGTGGCTTCCTTTTAGGAATTGATCAATGTCATAATTGATCAATGTCTTAATTGATCAGTCTGCAGATGATACTAAAACTGGGGCAGGGGCCACAACTGAGAAGCAGGTACTCCAGATCTAAAAGGATTTGGACAAGACTATGGAAGTGGGCAGAAGACAACAGGATGGCATTCAATGTGGATAAGTGCAAGATCTTGCACTTGGGGTATAGGAATGGGTGTCATAAGTATAGGTTAGGGGACAAGTGTCTGGAGAGCAGCACTTATGAAAGGGACCTCAGGGTACTGGTTGACTGCAGGCTAAACATGAGTCAGCAGTGTGATGCGGTCAGATAGAGGGGGAATGCCACCTTTGGTTGCATAGCCAGAAGCATGTCTTCTAGATTGAGAGAGGTATTACTACTGCTCTGCATGACTCAGGTGCGCCCACAACTGGAGTACTGTGTTCAGTTTTGGGCCCCTCATTATAGGAAGGATATAGCCAGGTTAGAGTCAGTGCAGTGTAGGGCCACAAGGATGGTCGCCGGATTGCAGGGGAAGCTGTATGAGGCGAGATTGAGGGAACGGGGCCTTTTCAGCCCGGAGGAGACTCAGAAGGGATCTGTTGGCAACATATAGGTATGTGAAGGGGTGTCACACGGAGGTGTGTAGAGACCTGTTCTCCCCTGCAGAGAAGGGCAGGATGCTCTCCAATGGAGCAAAGCTCAGGAGAACCAAGGTTCAATTTGGATGCCAGGAAGTACTTCCTAACAGTTAGGACCCCAAGGGTATGGAATGGGCTTCCATGGGAGGTGGTTGAGGTCCCATCGGTGAGGGTGTTCAAGGATAGGTTGACATGCACATGGATCTGGCTAGAGATGGAGGTCAGACTAGATGGCTAGGGAGACCCCTTCTGACTCACTCTGTTTCTATGTTTCTGACAATGGTATTCCATGTTTGTTACACTTACTGTTTTAAGAAAGTCATATTCCAAGGATCAAAATATAATATGCTTCAGATGTGGAGGATTATGGGCATCCAATACAAAGCAGGAAAAGTATGCATGTTTGGTTTCCCTTCATGCTCTCTGCATCCTCAAAAACATTTAGGTGTTTGACACTTAAATGTTTTTCCCTTCCTTGTAAGGAGGAGAGGCTGAGGCACCACCCAGATTCAGCAGTTCATATTCCTCCCTTCCCTGCTTCCAAGAATGAGACCCCACACCAGCTTCAGAGGTGGTCTTTGGAGCCCAGACAATACAGAAAAAGCTACTCAGCTGCAAGGGCAGAAGACAGGACCTCTAAGATGGAAGTCTCCACTCCAACCTTCAAATGTTTTTCCAAGGTCACAGTACTATCCTATGGCCTTCCAAATAATGTTTAGACAGAAAGAAGTCCGAGAAGTCCCATGCCTCAGCCAGCCATGTAGGGAATTGTAGGGTGCATCTGTCTTTAAGCAACTTTGGACAGTTGCAAAATTCTAACTCATCCTGTTTTGTTTAATCTTAATTCATTTTTTCTATTCTCCAGAACTAAAATGCTCTTGAGAATATGTCTCAGCTGTCAGGAAAACTATCTTGTGTGCTCGGGAAATTTGTGTGTCAGGAAAACTACCTTGTGTTCTTGAATTACTGGGATAAATGTCCCAGATGGCCTGTAAGAATAAGACCACTTACTCAATTTATGAATACATCCAGTAGGCTTTGAATTAAGTGTTCATGCTGCAATGCCACCAAAAACAAATTATTTGCAAAGGTACATAAGTGATGACTTACCTCGTGCAACATCCAATAATGTTCCTCCAGTAGTGAACATGTTTAATCCATGATGCATGTTGAATTTCACAAACCATTCTTCTATTGGAGCAATGTCTGCATCAATAGCATGTACAAAGATAAACAATTATGCTTGCATGCTCTTTTAATATGTGATCCACCACTGTATGGCATGTTTACTTCTACTAAGGTTTGTATACAACAAAAATTGTTGTGAGGGTGCCTGAAAGCTCACAAGTTGGACAATTGACCAGGTGGTGGGCATGGTAGCAGTGCAGCAGCTGGGCATTGGGGAGCACATGCTGAGAAGGAGGACAGGAAGCACTTCCAGCAGCAATGACTGTACGGGCAGCCATGCATGGCACTCCTGCCTACAGGGTCACCACACTACTTTAATGAATATACAGGGACTCTGCAGGGAAGAAAAAAACAGCAGCCAACTGAGAATATGCCCAGGAGAGCATGCGGGCCAATGAGGAAGAAGCAAGCAACACAGCCTGAAGTGGTGCATGCTGGGATTGGTACCCAGGGGCAGGGGCTGATGGGGGGCATGTCACCATCTGAAAGGAAGATGCAGGCAAACTACTCATGACAGTTACCTTGTGAATGTGTAAAGACAGGACACAAGATAAGAAAAGCAACTTTGTTGTATTCCTTTGTGCTATGTTTGAACAAGTTATGGTGGAAAGCAACATAGAATGGTTTGTAATGTTGCCTGAACCCAGTCAGGCACCTCCTGCATAGCATGTTTGGTTTCCAAGTAAACACAGAGAGAAACAATGGTCAGTTGCATGGTTTCCACACTTCATCACGACTCATTCAATCATGTGAATCTGGAAACATGGTTTCTATGCTACTGGTGGAAAGAGTGGCCATTGGTGGAAGAGGCCTGTAGCCTCCACTGTCCAGATCTTCTTAGCAACTGATCCATCAGCTCCAGGTGTACTTCAACTGGCTGTTCCATGACAACACCTGCCTGTGGCTTCTCTACTGCCCTCCAGAAGTCCTCCTGCAGCTTTGGAATGCCACTGGCAGCAGAGCAGTTCACACACTGTTCATGAACTACTCTGCCACTGCTTTTATTTATTAGATTTATATCTAGCTTTTTTCTTATGAACTTAAAGCAACCTGCATCATTATCACCCTGTTCTCAATCATATCCCTACAACAACCATCCTATGAAATAGGTTGGACTGAGAGCCTGCAACTGGCCCAGAGTCACCCAGTTGGCTTCATGGCCTAGTTGGACTAGAACCCAGGCCACCTAAGTCCCAGTGCTGTGCTCTTAACCACTACATCCATACTGGTTCTCATTGCCAACAGGGCAATCACCCTGAAAAGCTCATATCCCCTGCTCTGTTTCCTGCTCTCTCTCTTCTTTTCCTATCTTGTCCCTGGCATTCCTTGAGACTGTCAATAAGGGCACCTACTCAAGTGGTTGGAAGCATGCTAGCATGGTGTGGGAAGCTGTAGGAAAGGTGGATAGTCTGGGCATAGCTGTGAGGCAGCAGAGCATGCATATCAGCATATGTGTGAACACAGTCACTGACATTTCCTCATTTCCAATATGCTGTCACCATCTTATGCTTGATTGTATCCAACAATCACACCTGTAAGAGGTGCCTTTCATGAGTTCTCAGATATTGCATTGGTAATAAAAAGGCAGAAGGCAGTGTGTTGAAGTTTAAATTAGCCACAGCTTAGTTTACAGGCATTCTTAAATCAACAAAACGTGGGGTGGGCATAAGGAGTTGGCCTAACTGTCCATGTCATATTTGGTGCTTCAAGCTGTCAGCTCATTTGGGGCCTTCTGTCCTGGTTGAAACCTTGAGTGAAGGCTTATATCTGAAGCCAGATTTCCATTTCTAGCAGGTGGTTAAAATCTTTCTTGAAGTACCCCACTTTTCCCATGTCTCCAGTTTTGATCATGCTAACTCCTCCTTAGATGGGCCTCAATGTCCCTCTTCGGTTCTCTACCCATCTGTTAAAATTATGATATATACAATTTCACAATTTTTCTGTACACATTCTTACACTGATACACCAGGGAAAGTGGTCAATCTGAACTGCATGAAAACTGTATTTCCTGACTTTGCTGCATGACAAGGTACCAGCAGAAGAAACACTACTTTGAGAGGGTAGGATGGTTTGGCTGGACAGCACTAGCAGTCTGGTTGACTGAGCCTAAACCACAAGTGAAGAGGCTTCCACAGGCCTGTCTCCCCCTCATGATGGCAAGCTTTCTTAAGACTTTAGGTAGCATGCAGGCGTCTCCAAAATGCCACAAAGTTTGTTGGCATGATCAGGAACCACAAAAGATGGTATTGTATTTTCCACCTTGTAAATTGCCCCTTCCCCAAATATGGCAGTTTGGGAGGGCAGGTGTTGAAAAAAAAATCTTATGAGGCAAAATAAATATATTACCTATAGAACTTATTTATGCTTTCTCATGAGTTATTAAAGCATGACACTGCCTCTACTATGGATTCTCATAATAATTAATTGGATAATTAGATCTAAATAATTAGAAGAACCCAAAAAGTTAAATATAAAATTAGGTAGCCAAAGGGCAGATTCAGTGTGAAAGTACACAATATACAAATGACTCTGTTTTAGAAATGTAAAGGATGGAGCCACCACATTGTATGCTGAATTATAATGAATGATGTGAATATGAGTAGCCTATGATGAGAAATAACAATTAGAACAATCTGTCACCTGTATTATAAGTAAGCTCTTCTCGGGGGATATCAATTGACCATGAATCCACATCTTCTTCCTTTTGTTCAAGAAATTGTAACAAAAGATTTTAAGTATTAAAAACTTGAAGTGACACACATTTTAGGTAAATTATATAGCCTGATCTTTTCATATCCGACAACATGGTATAGTTGAAAATATTAGAGAGAGATGGCTTTAGATCTCTGTACAACCATGAAACTTACTGGGTCACCTTGAGCCAGTTGGGTTAACAGTACTGTCACAGGAATTGTATTGTTGTCATTCTGCTAACTGTCACAGTCTTGCTCCATGATCAAGAAACAGATGTGCTTCTGTTTCTACACATCCTATTCTATAGTCATCCATCTCTCTTAGTTCTTTAGTTTTGATTTTAAAACAAAATCAAGGTTTTAAACAAAATCCTAGCAAATCCTGACATTGTATCCTGCAATTATCTGAAGGTCTGAAATATTTAGCGCTAGTCCAGTTCCCATGCCAGAAAAGGAAAATGCACAAGAAACGGAAATATTCAATTAGAATAAAGGAATTTTCATATTTATGTTTTGTTTCAGATGAGAAACTATTTTGATCTCAAGGCTGAATTGTCACCTGAGCGTCACCAGCCAGCAATGGGCAAGACCAGAGTGTAAAGTAAAGACCATCCCATTATTTCTCACACAATATTGTCTCTCTCACACACAGCAGCATAAAACTCCCCCCAGAGAGCTCTTCTGCTCAATGGAACCAGTGCATCAGATTGTTTAGGTCAGCCCTCACCCTTGGGGAACCATTACATCAATATCCTGTGTGCCTTGAAAGGGTGATTCCCACAGATTTGGCTTTGCCCAGTCTTCATTTGTCTTTATGGAAAAGGCAAAGGCAAACAAGTGCTGCATCAAGAGGCTTCCAGCAGCCTAAAGCAGTGGTTGCTGACCATGGGACCCAGGGCTGAGGAGGTTTCAAGGGCCAGAGATCCCACATCTTTACTATTATTCCCTACTCATCCACTGCCAAGGAGACCCCACATGGTGAATAAAATGCTACATTTTCTTTCAAGCTACTAGTACTGCTTACTACTAAGCAGAAGTACTAGCAAAACACCCATTTGCTGAGAGATTTGTCACACTGCTTAAATTGTATGTCCACCAGTTTGATGGTCTGGGTGGAAAGCAGGCACACAGGGTGCTTGCTTGTGCTTACGCAGGATTGTTTGGAATGGGGATACAGGCCAGGGTCAGAAGCTTTATAGGAGCAGGTACAATCCACTGGCCGTTTTTCAAAAACCCTGCTGCAGCAAGAACTATAATGCCACACTCAACCTGTCCATCTGCAGTGACGCCACTAAAAAGCAGCAGCAGATGAGCAGCAACTCCAGTATTAAGTGATACACAGTAAAGTACCTGAGTTCTAGTACTATTTTGAGAGGTCTGAATTTGCAGGAAAAGCTCCATAATTAATATGTTAAGATTCTTCCCCAATTCATTAATATTTCTTCAGTTTCACATGGGTTTTGTGTTCCCATGTGTTCACTTCACAGGTTTGGACTCTAAGATGTTATTTGGAAGAAGAATCTTGAGTGGAACCAGCACTTGGTAACTGCTGTTCCTTGTCAACCTGTTAGCATAATAGGAACAGGAAACTGATTTACACCAAATCATCTGGCCTAGTATTATCTACTTTGACTGGCAGAGGCTCTTCTGGATTCAAGCCTTTTAGATCACTTGCTAATCCACCTGATCCTTTTAAATTGCAGATACCTAGGCCTGAAATTGGAAACTTCTGCATGTAAAACACGGGGTCTTAAATCTACCATTGTGCCCTGGGCCCTCCCAAAGTGTCCTACCAGCATCATTTGGAAGTAGAAGACTTGTGAGTAAGTACTGTTGAAAATCTGTATGCTGGGAGCAAGACCTGCTGAAGTATAAAGAAGTAGATTCTTCCTTCTGTTCTCTTTGGTGTCCTCTTTATTGATGTCATACAAATGACAAATGACTTGCTTCAACAATATTAAAAAACACCAAGTTTAATGTACGAATAACTAATTGTATAACATTCAGCATAATCAAAACCTTAAATGATTTGAAGCATCTGATGAACTAGGCTGTTGATCTCAAAAGCCCAAGATATAGTAAGTGCATTAATCTATAAGAGAAGGATGGGGATTGTTTAGCACTCCATAAAAGCAAGGGACCATCTAATTCAGTGTTGTGTTCATGCAGTGACCAACACCCTATGCACAGGAAACCCACAGAGTGCAGAAGCATCCTTTTGGTCACATTCCTCAGCAACTGGAGTATACAAAACATGTGATAGTGCCTCAGACACCGGAGGGATCATATAGCTATTGTGATTAGTAGCTACTGAGACCCTTATCCTTCATGAATGCTTTCACTTTCCTATTACTCTCTCAAGATGTAGCACTTCAGGTGCTCAGCTTATGTAGTGCTTTCATATAGCCAGAACTACATCTTGTGGCAGTGCATTATATAGTTTCACTATGCACTGTGTGAAGAAGTCCTTCCTTTTATCTATCCTGAATCTCGCATCTATCAACTTCATGGGATGGTCCTAGGTTCTAGTATGATGAGAGAAGGTGAAGAAAGTCCCCTCTACACTTTCTCCACACCATGCATAATACTGCACACTGCTGGCATGTCTCCTCCCCTTACCCACCCTTCTTCTAAGCCAAACAATTACAGATGTTGTAATCTTCCCTCATAAGGTAGTTGTTCCATCTTGCTCATCTGAGTTGCCCTTTTCTGCTCTTTTCCAACTCTACAATATCTATTTTAGTTGTGATGACTAGGACTGCATTCTAAGTGTGGTTGTACCATATATAAGCTATGTCCAGAAAGTAATGAGAATGAAGCTCGAGAAAAGGGTCTGTGAAGGGAGAATCTGGACAAGGTAACTTGGGGTGGGGTGACAAGTATATGTTAGAACACTGATCAGCTGCATTTCAACTCTGTCAGAGTTGAGACTTTCTTTTTTGTGACACCCTGTTCAAGTGCCTCATATTAAGAAAAATGCAAGGGAGTTTGGAAGAGCGGTACATGATAAAATGGTGTGGAATTGGGTAAAAGTGCATCAGAACCCTTGAAAATGATGAGGGTGGAAGACTTTTTCCTTTGGAGAAGTCTCCCTGGGATGCCTGTGAGGGGAGAAGACCTGCAATTCAACCATCTGTCAGGCACATCATGCAGTCTTAAGTCATTCAAACACGGTGTACCTTCTGCATCAGTTTGGGTTGTCCATTCATCTGAAACTGGCCGATGAGCCAGTGAAACAGAAAAATTGGTGTATCTCTATTATTCATATACCCCTTTTTTCAAGGAACTCAAGGCAGCTTGCATTATTTATTTATTTTTAGATTTCTATGCTACCTACAAGTCCTACAGGGGTCTCATTGTGGCTTACGGCAAATTTTCCTAATTCTACATCTCACAACAACCACCCTGTGAGTAGGTTGGATTGAGAATCTATGACTGCCTCAAAGTCACCCAGTGAGCTCCATGGCTGACTGGGGACTAGAACCCAGATCTCCTGAGTCCCAGTCCCTGTCTCAGGAGTACAGGGCTTACATTATTTATATTTCTATCCCTGAGTTATTCCCCAGTCAGCTATAAATAATAAAGAACTGAACCTGAAGTCTGCTGTGTGCTGTTGTCCTCACATACTGAATATGTTTTAGGCTTCTCAATAAGGGCATGCTCCACTCAAGGACTTCCCCTAATGTGCTATATAATACAGAACAGTTCATGTTTGAAATTGGCTCTTGGAGAATGGGAAAGGGAGAAAATATATTTTGTTTTGTTCTTCTGAAATATCCCCATATCAAAAACAATAGATGTTTGATATCCCTATATCAAACATAATCCCCCACTTTTGCAGGATAGTCTTTATAAATCATTAGGGGCCTGAGTAAGCCAATTCTTTTCTTCCTTGTCTTATTTCTTCACTCAGCTTAACAATTCATACCTCAGTTCCTCTTAGCTACTGACTAAATGTGCAGTCTCTGAAAGACTGGCTCCTTTAGACCCTGTTGACCTCCCCCCCCTGCTCCCAGGGTGGGAGTGCTAACCTCAGAGAATTAGAAAAATCCAAATTTTAACATAGCTGTACATGGGCAGCAATGTCTCCCAACAGAAAAGATAGCAGTATGGTCAGATCTTCTCAGCATACATTGATGTTTAATGTGAATATGGAAGTTTATTTCTCTAGATTATGAGATCATTTATTCTTAGTTCTATGCATTCATTGTTCCACAGGCTTGAAGGTGTGTATTGTGCTATTTTGTTTTGTTTATATTCTAATCTACAAATGTCTGTACTTCTGCATACTTAGGGAAGTCTTCAAGTGAATAAAAATAACTCTATTATGTGATAATGGCCCTTTCTTATCCAAACTGATAGGAATATGCCCAACCATACTTTGCCAAACATACCATTTTTCTTTCATGTATATTTCATATGCATTGTGCCAAACATATTTTTACTTATTTACATATATATGAATTATAAATTTTGACTAGAAATGCATAGCTGGAAACTTACCAAATTTTTCTTTAGAAGGAACAATTTAATTGCTTTAGGTTTTTTAGTATCATTCTTGAAAGCTTCTGTGTAGCAGGCAAAACTTGAATTTGTCTCCACTAAAGAAAATTTTATTTTGAAAATATTTATAATACCCTATATTTTTGAGCATATAATCAAAAGCTATAATACTTTTGAAAATATTTATGCATACCATAAACTTTTTTGAGTAGTTTAGGGTGCAATCCTATGGGAATGCATGTAACACTCTGTACTGGGAATTAAGAATGCCTTATTCAGAGCTACAAGAGCACAGAGGGGAGGTTTGCCTCTGCACTTCTCCTGCCTGGTGAAGCCACCAGACTGCCAAATTTGGCTAATGTTCAGGGCAGAAAGCTACACGACATTATATGTAACATCAGAAAAAAACTTTTGTGGGATGCATGTAGCACATACAAACATTTATTCAGAAATAAATCTTACTAACTTCAATTTTAGTTGCTCCCAGTTAAGTGTAAGTATTTTAACTTTATCTCAATTAATTATCCAAAATAATTTATACCAATTAAAGCATAGTACAGTACTTCCTGAAGAATATTCAAGGTTCTAAGCCAAATGCAGAAGGCTTTAAATGCACATCATTCCAAAAAGTGTGTATATTTTCCTTTTGAATGCAGAGACTATGAAATATAATTACTATGAGAATTAGCATTCTTTACTTTGTGGAGGCCTTTATATATTATAGCTAATGCAAATTACATGGTTGCAACACACATTTTTGGGAGTATTCCATGCAATAGCGAGTAAGCAAAGCTCCTGAATACAGTATAAACAAACTGGACAGGACATTAGATCCTTAGTACCTTGGAATTCTCAACTTGCCTCGTTCATTGTAGGTAATTCCTGATGAAAGTTTTAAAACAGCTCCAAGCACAATACAAAACCACAATAACTTCATCTGTACTGAAAAACAACAGATATATATTTCAAAGTATACACAAGGTGACTCAACAAAGGGGATTTCTCTTCATGGGACTTTTAACCTACCTTTACTAAGTTTTCTGCTTCTCAATTCTTTGCAGGATTAAGATCAGCTCTTTTCACACAACCCCCACCCCAAAGTCTCATTCCATAAATACACCAGGTTCTCATTCCACCCTTTCGAAATAATAGCACACTTTCCTTGAACCAAAAACACCTCAGAAATGGTTGCAAAGGATGGGAGTGGCCTAGAAAATGACAACCTCCTGTGAAATGCCCACAAACCAGCCCAAGTGAGGAATCATGAGCATATAATAAATGTCTCCTGTAGAGAAGTCCTTGGCTGCATCATGCACTGAACAAGAATCAGAGCCCACCTGGGATCACTTCAAAGCAAAGTGAGGATTTACAGCTGCCACCGCCTTCCTCTTCCATGAATGCCTCTGGGCCACTGGCTACAGTAGTGGCAAGAAATGACAGGGATGAGGAGCAGGAAAACAGCACCATTTTAGTTTTCCTGTATTAGCTGTGATATCCTCTCACAACTGATCTTGAAGATCAAACACTAGCAGATTCAGTACTTAAATTGCACTGCAGCAAGAGTATCTCCAAAGTTATAACTTTCCAAATACAATCAACCTCTGTCATTTTACCATTGATTTGCACTCAATGTATTTGTGTATCCTATAAAATAAGATGGTCATTGCTAATGCTTATCCTTCTGTTTTGCAGTATCTACAAAATAGGGTATTTAATGTAAAATGTATGTGTGATCAATAGATCTCAATAACTTATTGATGCTCAAGTATGTCCTATAAATAGAATTGATGAGCAGGAGTATTCTACCACTCTATACGATTCTGGTGCGCCTGCAACTGGAGTACTGTGTTCAGTTTTGGGCTCCTCATTACAGGAAGGATATAGCCAGGTTAGAGTCAGTGCAGTGTAGGGCCACAAGGATGGTTGCCGGATTGCAGGGGAAGCTGTATGAGGCGAGATTGAGGGAACGGGGCCTTTTCAGCCCGGAGGAGACTCAGAAGGGATCTGTTGGCAACATATAGGTATGTGAGGGGGTGTCACATGGAGGTGTGTAGAGACCTGTTCTCCCCTGCAGAGGGCAGGACGCTCTCTAATGGAGCAAAGCTCAGGGAACCAAGGTTCAATTTAGATGCCAGGAAGTACTTCCTGCCAGTTAGGACCCCGAGGCTATGGAATGGGCTTCCACGGGAGGTGGTTGAGGCCCCATCAGTGAGGGTGTTCAAGGATAGTCTAGACATGTACATGGTAGGCACGTCATGAGCGGAGCCAGCTGGAGCCAGGGGTCAGACTAGATGGCCCAGGAGGACCCTTTTGACTCGCTGTGTTTCTATGTATTGTTAGGCACTTAAAATAACAGAGATCCAAGCTCAAGGATCACACAATTGCATTAAAATTTCTTTATATCTGGATATCCCAATATAGAAACATTATGACCATCACTTATTTAAATTTTTTAGTAGTCATTTGAATAGCTACAGATAAATTCTTCAGTTAATTGTCACCCTGCCCTAGATAATCCCAAAACAATGTAAACAGATTTTACTAATATTCATTCAGTGCAGGGTTATTGTATCTTGTGAGTAAAGAAAGCTAATCTTTACCTCTCCAGCTGGAATCTCCTTTGAAAAATTGCCCCCTGTAGCAATTATGCTGACTGGAGGAAATTTCTACTGGCACTAGTAATCATTCAGGGCTCTGGGTATATAATCTGGGCCTTGGAAAATACATTTGGGGCCAGAGCCACATAGGCCCAGGCCTAGAAACACCCTCCTCTCTTTCTGAGGACAAATAGTGATTTTAATTTACAGACCTTTGCATATTCAGACAGAAGGCCCACAACTCCCAACATGAAGGCCTTGTTTTCCGTTGAAATATGCACAGGATTGTTTTTTAAAGAAACAAGGAAATTAACTCAAGAAGAAACGTGTTTGTAACATGCTCCCTCCCCAAATGTTGTTTATCAGAATAATTCATCTGATTCTCCAGGATATTTACTTGGAAATTCTATTGAACTTAGTGAGGTTTAAGTCTTATTAGACATCTACAAAATTATGCTGTTAATCTCTGATCCACCCCCACAGTGGATTCCTTTAAACTTTTGGCTTGTAAATAAAATCATATTTTTATTAAATATAGTTAGAAATATTCCAAATCAATCAATCAATAATTGTTTTATTTTTTACAAAATACTTTATGAATATAAAAATCCAGATATACAGCAGTTCCCCTAGCACTTATATTTAAAAGCAGTCATATGGAAAAGCATGCTGTGAATTTACATATTTAACAAGTTGTTTCAATTGCTATCCACTCTTTGGAAGGGTATTTAACATTGTACCTCTCAGATAAAACAAGCTGCTGGAGAACAACCCATGCACTCTTAAACTCTGTATTTGGTTATGTTTTCAGTGTTGTCCACTATAACGGTAGCCCACATTGAGTAGCAGCCATCTGGAATTTTCCAAAATTCAAAAAAATATTAGAATGGTTATCTGGGGAAAAACAAATGATGGCTAACTGATTCTTTCCCCTTCCCCCTGCTCCCCCGAAATTAGCCTCATCCCTAAAGCAAAACTGTATTTGAGATAGGTGAGAAGTGCTGAGAAATGGCCTTGCCTGCAAAAGGTGATAAAGGTAATACTTTCTGTTATGTGGCCAGATAAAACATAAGACCTCATACCTTTCTTCAGAAATACTGCCTTAGCTTTTTCTACAGTATTGGAGCTCCCACATCTGAGGGCTGTGGAGATGATGAATTTGTACA